ACAAACATATGGGACAGACAGGTCCCGTGTCCATAGATATTGTGCACATGACATGTATATATATATATACACACCTTCCAGTAAACTAACACAGATGTGGAAAATCCATTGTTTGTAGGTTTTGTTCCTAGGGAAACCATGGATTTTCCACATCTATGTTAGTTTACCCTAGGGTTGTCCGTAGACGTGCTTGTCAAAGATGCGGTGCATTTCCACTTTGGGATCTATTCATTTTGAGGCAGACTGAGAAAGGTTTACTCAGATTGTTGAATGTATATGAATGTATCCCTATCATCTCCCATAATATCCCCACATAGTGTCCATTGCAAGTTCTGAGCGCGCCTATTGTCACAAAGCATTGCGTTGTCAACGTGCGACGTATGTAAACGTAAGCCGTCCGGGAATCAAACGTGGCTTTCGATGATTTTCCCATCAAAGCCTCCATCTATGTGATTTCCCGATATTCCGCCGTATTTCCCATATTCTTTCCCCATGATTCATGATTTTACCAAGTTTTTTATCCAATGGCATTTCCCAGCTATGTTACCAAAGGATCTCCTCGCTGGCTCAAGGCACAAATTGCACAGGACGTGGCATAGCCTCCGTCATCGTTGAACGCCTGCGCCGTGACTTCGGTGAAGTGGGCCAGAAGGACAAAAAATCTGCAGAGCATATGCATGTTATCAATGGGAATTCCAGGATCCTAAATGTGGGGATATTCCCTTACATAGCCCTTACATAGGCCTTATATATGGTAGGTACCTCCAATTTAGGTTCCTGAAATGGCCATTGATGTTACCCTCTGGTAATTTGTTACATAGCTATTGAAGCCATGGCCCATAGAAATAGTTGATTTACCTATATTTACCTATTAAAGATGGTGATTTTGGATAGCTATGTTAGTTTACCAGAGGGTGTGTAAATAGATGTACATCTTGTATGTACATATATACCGTATATTGGTGGAAAATTATATTATTATGATCATCTTGAGGTTTGGTGGAAAATTGGATGTTCAGACATATTCCCCCTTTTATAACATTTCTAGATTATACCTACTCCAAGATGACTACATATGTTTACGCCTAGCAACTCCGAAAAACGCAAAGGGAGACAGGATATCACTATTTTACGACACAGAAATACCGTTCTATCGTTGTGGGGGTGCCATAAACATTCTGACATAGTGATACATAGTGTTATATGATATTCTGGTTGGTAGTTTCAACCCCTCTGAAAAATATGAGTTCGTCAGTTGGGGTTACGATTTTCCCAATGTATGGAAAGTCATAACAATCATGTTCCAAAGCACCAAGCAGTATTGGTTTTTATTGGTTTATATTGTGTTCTTTAAGCATCGCTTTGTGTGTTTCGACAGCGAACCGCGCCTGCGGATCATATCCTTGGAGAGAATGATGGTGATTGGTGGAGAATTTTTGATGACCTCCACTTGTTGACCATAACTATATATATAATGCATATCTATTGCAGACTGTTTATCAACTTATCAAAGATATATATATATATATATAATTTTCAATGTTGTCATATGAAGTGGTATACATATTATGATTGGATTTTCCTTTCCATGTACGCCAAATATATCAAATATACAGTATCATATCTTATCCGTTCTTATTTTAGCGGTTTGGTTGGTCGTGAGGTGGCTATTGTGATGGAGGTAGAAGACTCAAAAACTGCAGCATCTCCGGGAAAGTGACATGTTTCGGCTGATCGAAGCCTGCTCGGAGATTTCGAGAAAAAAAACCGCTACCTGATATGGAGAATAGCCACTTTATATATATCTATTGAAAATGGTGATTTTCCATATGATTGGCGGGATAGTTGCAGTCCGGGTTTTCTTTAGATCCTTTTTTCTGGTTGGTGGTATACCTACCCCTCTGAAAAATATGAAAATCAGGTGGGATAATTATTCCAAATATATATATATATATATTATATATATATACTGTATGGGAAAATAATTACTTTCCTTCGTGTGATCCCCACCATGACATTTATACATTTTCTTACTGGCAAATCTTCTGGCATTCTATCTGACATATCTTCTGACATTCTATTTGGCATTCTATCTGGCATTTCTTCTGGCATATGATCTGGCATATCTTCTGGCATATCTTCTGGCATTCTATCTGGCAAATCTTCTGGCATTCTATCTGGCAAATCTTCTGGCATTCTATCTGGCATATCTTCTGGCATTCTATCTGACATTCTATCTGGCATATCTTCTGACATTTTTTCTGGCATTCTATCTGGCATATCTTCTGACATTCTATCTGACATATCTTCTGATATTCTTTCTGGCATATCTTCTGACATTCTGTCTGGCATATCTTCTGACATTCTTTCTGACATTCTTTCTGGCATTCTATCTGGCATTCTATCTGACATTCTATCTGACATCTTTTCTGACATTCTTCCCGTTGAGGTCCGGCAGTGCCCACTGCGATCTGGAAGTCGCGGTTGAGGTCCGGCAGTGCCCACTGCGATCTGGAAGTCGCGGTTGAGGTCCGGCAGGGAACACTGGGCGTGGATGGTCGTGGTTGAGGTCCGGCAGGGAACACTGGGCGGGGATGGTCGTGGTTGAGGTCCGGCAAGGAACACTGGGCGTGGATGGTCGTGGTTCAGGTCCGGCAGGGAACACTGGGCCCGGATACTCGCGGTTGAGGTCCGGCAGGGAACACTGGGCGTGGATGGTCGTGGTTGAGGTCCGGCAGGGCACACTGGGCGTGGATGGTCGTGGTTGAGGTCCGACAGAGAACACTGTGGATCGCGGGTCGCAGTTGGACAAGGAGGACGACGAGGAGGACGACGAGGAGGAGGAGAGGAGATGAGGAGAGGAGAGGAGAGGAGGAGCAGGCAACTGACATAAAATCTAACAACCCTCACCTGGCAGGTGGGGAAAAAATCATGTTCCAAACCACCAACCAGTTTTTTCTATGCCATGATCACCCGTTCGGATACCAATCCGAGATCCCCGATCCGATCCCCAACACATTCGCGGGTCTTTTTAGAAACTGCCCACGTTTGTTACCCTCTGGTAAACTAACATAGCTATTGAAAATGGTGATTTATAGTGGATTTTCCCATTAAAAATGGTGATTTTCCATAGCTATGTTAGTTTACCAGAGGGTATTCACAATCTAAATTTAACATGGAACCTCAAACATGTTCACAATGGAAATAATCAAGCTGAAACTCATCTTCCAAACCCTATGTTTATATATGTTTATCACGTTTGTTATTCATCTTCCAAGCCCCAGCTCTCATAAACCAGCTATAAATCCCATTCAATCAGCATTTTTCGAAATCACCAACTTTCCTAGTTCAATCATGTTCACTCCCCATTTTCCCTAGTTGAATCCCAATTTTCTCTACTTAAATCCTATGATAAATCCTATGATAAATCCTATGCTTCCAGGATGTTCCAGGTTAGGGGCTGACCATGCTGACCCCGAAGGCTGCGATGAAAACTGTCGAGCATCTCACTTGCCGAAAGCTGCGCACCAGGTTGGCCGGGTCCGGAATGATCCCGGCCCGGCACAGCATGGGCTTCAGGCAGGGGAGCCACAGAAGCCACACGCAAATGACAAAAACCTAGGGGAAAATGGTGGTTTCACTCGGGAAATTGTGATTCAATTCAGGGAAAATTGTGGATTTAAAATTAAGGAAAATGAGGATTTAACCAGGGGAAAATTTGGATTCAATTAGGGACAATGGGGATTTAACTAGGGATAAATTGGTTTTAATATTCTTTAATTGGGGAAAATGAGGATTTAGCTAGGGAACCTTTGGATTGAATTAGGGAACATGGAGGTTTCACAAGGGAAACTTTGGACATGATATAACATGATATAACATGATATAACATGATATAACATGATATAACATGATATGTGCCTCGAATCTGGTTGGATCTGGTTGCTGGTTGAGCCAGCAACCAGAGGTTTCTCTCCGGCAATCAGTTGGGATCATCCCCACGAAGTCGTGGGGATACCCGGGTAGCATTAGTTCACCATTACTTGGATGCAGGGGTATAACCCATGACGGATCCATGGTGCTGCTATGATAACATGGATCCCATCAATATACCCCCTTTATGTTAGCATATATACCAGCACCATGGATCCTATGGGTAAGTGATGAGTGAAACTCGATGAAAGTGTTGGGCACTATCTGGGGACTTGTTCTGAATGGAAAATTCTCAGCCTTGAATTTTGACCCATCTTCCTACCTCAAAATACACATGCCCTCCACATGCCTGGAGAGGTTGTCACATGTTTCCAGGCCTTTAGGGTGACCCTTTCTGGGGGGCTGGGAGGTGCCTGGGAATTCTTCCCGAAATCACAAGGGGCTGATGCCATGGTTCTGAACTCACTGGATTCAGCCCGGACGACCAACATCATCCAACATCATCCGACACTAAACTCCACAAGACCGCAACGGATCGCCACAGATCGCAACGGATCACAAGGGTGCCAAAGCACCAGCATGAGGTAAGGCGTGAGAACCAACCAGCCGCTGGCTTTCAGTTTCCAGCTGCAGTCCTCGCGGTCGTGATGACTTGGTCATCCCAAACGGCCACCCAGAGTTCATCACTCAAAGTCATGAGCTTGTTCAACAGAATTTAAATGGATATAGAGGTTTCTTAAAATGAGGGTATTTATGGGTAACCAGTCATCATCCCATTTATAGCTGGGATTTTCCATGAAATAAACTAACCATCCATCTCGCTCAGGGTATCCCCATGACTGTGGCACCCCCATGGGAGAGGTACTTCTTCCACAAGACTTGTACCGACTTGAACAGTGGTGGAGAAGAAAAAAGGGGATGCTTTTTCCAGCCTCGAAACATCCCAAAATCATCTCAGCAATGTTCTCACTCTCCTGATGCTGATGTTTTCGAAAAACTTTTTGAGTGATTCCGTCGAAATAGTGTGATGTGTATGTGTGTCTCATCGTTTATCTTTTTTCCCACGTGTGTTTCCATCTTTTAAATTCTGTTTTGGAATTTTCGAGTTTGAACAGTGTAGTGTTGTAGGTCTTGCTCTGCTTTCGCTGACTGATTCGTACGACCTGTCAATGCCAATGTTTGGCTCAAAGGGCTCAATCTCAAAGGCACTTGACCATTTGATCATAACCTATATCAATAGTTACAAATGGTTCACTATGTTTCACTTATATGTCTGTTTTGGAAAACACGTTGGAAACTCACGGGGCATTGGGTGGAACACAACTTATCTAATACATGGTTTGTTGATCTATTTGTACAACTTTTGAAGAAGAAACAACACCCTACTGATCTAGACTCTAGACCCTTAGCATTTCTGAACCGTGCCAACATTATGGGGAGTTCTCATCGTTCCAAAATGTTCCAAAATTCCAAACTAAAATTGGCTTGTGATTCTTGGTCATCTCACCCTTCGTGCCTGTGTTGGGTGGTTTTGAAAGTTTCGAAGTCATTGGCAAAACCCAATTCTTTGTAGTATTTGGTAGTCAACTCCCACTTTTTCTGCAGATCCAATGCTCATCTTTTGGTCCAATCCCCAGTTTTTTCTACCAGCCATGGGCTCGCGTGGCGCATCAGTCCCGTGCGATCACGAGCATCAAGAAGGTCGTCAAGGGCCTGCGGCGCAGCGGCGAGACTCCCGGAGGTGAGAAATGTGGACCGCAAAGAATTGCAGAGCTGACCCAGAAATGCGTTGATTAATTGAGAATGTTATTCCACTATAGCTTTGTTAAACATAGCTTTGTTAAACATTACCCTCCGGTAATGACTAACATAGCTATTGAAAATGACCATAGAAATAGTGGATTTATCCATTAAAGAATGGTGATTTTCCACAGCTATGTAACAAATTACCAGAGGGTAATATGTCAGGATATTTGCTGCAGGAGATTTAAACATTACCCTCTGGTTTTTGATCCTATCGACTGACTGTTCCTGGAACCATCAATGACATCCCACATTGTTCTGGGCCCCGCACCAAATCAATTCCCAGAGTGCCAGCGGAACGGCCACAAAGTACCACAAGAACCTTCTCCTGACGCCACAGAAAAGCCCACCCACCTAGAAATGACCCACTTGTAAACATACAAAAAGCTATGGAAAATAGCCCATCTATGCCCATAGAAATAGTTGATTTACCCATTGAAAATGGTGATTTTCTATAGTTAATGATGTTAGTTTACCAGAGGGTACATCAAATTATAATCCCTTCTCCCTATTTATTATATTACTAAACCTCCCCCAAAATAAAAAGAACTAGCCCAGATTACTTGTTTGGGGAAATTTCAGATTGGTCAATTTGACTTTTAAATGATCCCCTTTACAAAACAATTTGAACATCAAGGTCCGTTTGAAAGTTCTACCCCCTTAATAATAAAAACTAGTTATCCCCGGGGTGTTTTTTATTAGGGTCCGCTTGTTAAAATCGACAATTTCATTTTTTTATTTTTAAATTTGATATTAGGGGAAAGCTTCGAAATCCAATTTTTGGCAATATGTTAATTTGATTTTAAAAGGGAATTTAATTGATTTTGAAATCGGTTATTGTTATATTTCTATTATTAAGGTTTTAATCTTAATATTAAGGGCCAGCTTCTCCCCGAATATTAAATACCCCCCAACAATAAAAACATATAAAAACTACCCTTAGGTTTGATATGGTTTTATCATTTGGAAGAGGGGGACGTTTACAGCAATATTAGGGTGAAGGGATTATACACACTCTACTCTACATCAACATCATCATCCTTCGATCAATTCACTCAAATGGGTATGGCTCTGAAAATTTCAGACCCAAACTTGGACCTGTTTAGGGCCTCTAAACCATCCCACCTTTAAGGTTCCCCAAGAAAACTCTGTCTGCCTGGTGGATCTTACGCCCCGCCCAGCCAGCTCGTTTCCAGGCATGTGACACCCGCTCGCAACGGTCATTTTGGCAGCAGTTTCGCTCCGTACAGCGCAAAATGCACCGCTCCCAAGCATACATGCTGAACCTGGGAGGCCCGGGTAACATACCGTGGCCATGAAGCCCTGAAGCCCTGGGGACGGATGCCCCGAATCCTCCATGCAGACCGTCCTTTCAGCACTGCGTCATGGTGGTGAGTCCCCAAAAACCTAGGGCTATCCATGCTTATCACATGGATACTGTATAAGCATCAATGGATATTTGAAGATGGTTGTGGGACTCAGATCCTGAGAGTGCGGCAGATATGATTGAGGGAGGATACGACAAATAACCATCAAACAGCTTACAGATTCTACACACGAGCAAATCATCGGCTAGTCTTGAAGCGCCCCTCTGTGCAGAAATGTTTCTCGGGATCTATTCATTCTATCCTACGGGAAAAAAACCTGGAACGCAAGAAACTTAGGATTTCTTTACAACAAAAATGAGGCCAACAGATTGTTTTTGTCTTGAAACGTTGAGTTTTCTTTTGTGTTCTTGATGATTTTTCCACTTTTTGCTGGTTTTGTAACCTGCCAAGAAACTCCAAAAAATACTATCTACCTATTGGTTCTTTTTCATGGGGGAAGCCTCTACCAGGAAAACCTGGTACGCTCCACCACTATTTTGGACCATGGCGCATTTTGCAGAAGGTCACGAGCCAGAACAGGAGTACCATCCAACCAATCGGCATATCACCTCAACTTAGGATGCCAAGGATGCCCACGGAGCGATGATGGTTTCTATGGGGTCGGGGCTGGGTTACCCAAAGATTATATCCTCCAGTAACATGTCAATGGGAAATCCCCAACTCAATGAAGGTTTTAAGTTAATGGGAAAATCAAATATCAATATGGAGGATTACGGGGAGTAACTGTTGAATATCAAGCAACACATTCTGGTAGTTTAGTGTTGTGATAGCACATGTGTCTCCGAAAACTTCCAACTCAACCTTTGAATGTGGCTGTCCTGTCGGAACTCCGGCAGATCTCTACTGGTCCAAATTCCCAGCTGCAGATGCCTTTTTACCAACCCCAAACGACTTTCAAACTCCGGTGAATCAGCCTAGCTACCCTCTGGTAATTCAACATAGCTATTGAAAATGGTCATTTTTATTGGGAAAATCCACTATAAATGGTCATTTTCAATAGCTACGTTAAATTACCAGAGGCTATTCCCAATTTTCGTCTGTGGTCTACTCTTGATGGGTCACACCCAAATGTTGCGCCTTTTTGCAGCTCAATCCCCCGTTGATTCCCTCATCTTTTCGGCCTTGCGGAGATGTTCCACTAGTCCACCCCGAAAAAGTGCCATGATCCCCGGTCCCAAAACCTGCCGAACGCGTGGCAGTGATCCCCGATGTGCCCGAAGACGGCGTAGTTGACGTAGCCCGTGGCGTTCTTGCCATCGAAGGCATCCGCCAGGCGGGTACAGAAGATCACCACCAGCCTCAGAGAAAGCTGGAGAAAATGGTGGATATTCAGCATCGACGAATGGGAAAAGCAAACCGTCAATTCATGGGAATTTCTAGTAACCATAGATTTTAATGAGGATTTACCATGATCATGGGAATTTCACCATCAAGAATAAATCATGTCAGTAATTACACAATGTTGGGGATCTTGAATGGTTACTAATACCATCTGGTACTACTTTGGATGGTCGCCAAAACTTTGATCTACCACTTTGGGTGGTTTCCTGAACGTTAACATGTTGGTTCGTAATCGCTAGAGGGGTTTTCCGTGACAAACCAAATCCAACGTCAAGGCAAAGCTATGAATGAAACAATGAGGTCACTCATGTGCCAAATTGTCTATAGTGTCAGCCCTGGATTAATAAACCCCAAACGGCTGTTTAATTGGGGGGTACCATTTAAGTATCAGATGAAATGACTATTGGAGGAGTACCCCCCTAATTAACAAACCATGGCAACCATTTATCCGAGGTTGACATGATATAAATAGGTGGCGTACACCCTTTGGGATGGTTTATGATTGGCTTTATCACATTGTCCAGGACTCCCGGAAAAACACTCCGCGGACCGCCCGTGGGAACTCCATATTTACCATTCCCTGACAGCCGCCGCCCTTCCTGAGTCAAGCGGCAGTATCCTGGGCGAATGGACATTAACCCTGGGATAATGTGGGGGAATTGCCAAGCGGGAATCCATTTTTTTCTCACGTGGCAGTGGCTATTGATAGGAAAATCGTGATCGAAATTCTGGCAATGTTCCTTTGTAGATCCTGGATTTGAGAAAGTGAAGATCTGCCCAAAGGGGCCCTCGGGAAGATCTTCCCAAGCGACAAATCAAGCGGCAGCATGTATTTCTGGGCTAATACATGTATCTGCACAGGTGCACACTTGTCAATACATATATATATATATATTGCATATAAGTACCATACATCATTGCAAAAGGCATAGTACTAAATAATTTAATATATATATAATCCAAAACTAAATACTGCTAATCAACAAGAGCTCTATATCTAACGGATACTGCATATAAATATTTGTCATACCATTGCCTGGTCTCCTTATTTTGATCGATTTTGAGACTACCCACGACTATAAACTGTTGCAGCACTACAAAATTTGACTAAACCATATATACGAATTCCAAACACTACAAGTTGCAATAGAATAATCCTTGACTGGGTACCAAATACACCATTGGCCAAAAACACCGATTATCCCGTCGGCACATTGACATGTCGCCCGTGTCGCCACAAGAAAAAACCAGGCCAGGCAGCAATGTCACCAGCGCAGGCATGATAACGCCCCAGTAGAAGATAATCTCAATCCTCGGAGCTGAATCACCGCGAAATCGCGACGTTTTTTTGGGTTTTGGACCCATGGTATTACCCATGGTTTAACCAGCGAATCATGTGATTTTTTGGGGGAGTTCAAGCCGGTTTATAATAGGTAAGTTGGTGGATATAACTCCAATAACTATGGTTTATGATACTTATAACTATATTCAATGGGGTTTACATAGACCAACAAACATAACTAGGGGCCCAGTGAGATTGTAGAGCGGAAACACGTTTCGCATGGATAAAACAAAACGAGGACAATCCACCATTTTTGAAGCGATATAAATTGTGGGGATATCATGGGATATCCCCCTTGGGTAAGGGTAGCCTTAAAAAATGGACCTTATATGTAATATAATATATATATATATATTATAATATCTATGTAATTCTATGTATAATATGATATAATATGCATGTATGTATATATATATAGAGTTGCCAGATGTTGCCAGCTCCATTCCTGAAATGGCAATGATCTCTTGTAATCCCACATCTGCCGGTAAAATCCTCATTGATCAAGCCCTGACGGCTTCAATCCTGGTCTTTGATAAACGCAACGTTGTTGGATGTTGGTGCTTTGCAATGCTAGTACAACACAAAAGAAGGATCCACCATCCCCAACTTTACCAAAAAATACGTCTAAACATGCCATAAATGGGGTGTAAAAATCGTCAAAATATTGGTGGTTTGTTATTGCTTTACTAACATTATATATGCCAATTGTATCTATATACATATGTGTGTACTGCATATGTATATATATATATACAATGTGAGGCTCCCAAGATATAAGTTGGTTTATAAGCCCCAGTAACTATACTTATAAATATCATAAACCATAGTTATTGGAGTTATTTGCACCAACTTAGCTATCTTGGGGGTCTCACATTGTATATATATATATATATATATTATTCCATATCTATCTATCCGCTATCCGAATCCCCCTCTCCCTAATCATTTCATCCCTTAGATATCTACCAATCCAAGGGACAACGTCCTCACAACCTCCATCATCATGGTCCGACGAAAGGCCCGGCGCCTGTGGTAACGATGGGCAAAAAAGATGGATTGATTCGGGTGCATTTATATACCAAGCGCACACATGTGTATATATGTATATATTACATGTGATATATAATTATATATATATTATATGCATTTATTTATTCATTTATTTATATATGTAAGTATGTTTATGTGTACATATATATATACATATATTATATTCTGTATGATACTGCATGATATTGTATGTATATGTATATATACTTCCGCGAACCACGGTTACCAACAAAGGATGTGCTAATCAAGTTTTGGATGGAGTCCCCAAGTCCTGGAAGCCCCTTATCATGGGAATCATTTCCGTTGCAGCCTACATCCTCTTTGCTGCTGGTGGAAGAAACTCACCAAACAACCAACAAGGTGGCCCCCACGAATCCACAGAAGTTTGTCTGCAACATCCCCTATCCAGATTGTTCTTGCTTCATCACCGTGTTTGATGCTGACACGGTGTCAAATCACGCGTTTTGCTGATGAAATCACCGCTTGTTCTGGTTAAATTATCACAATTCTTATATCTTGTTACTGGTATAATACTGGTAAATTCGCCTATAGTTACCATGTTACCTTTACACATTTGGGTTCCACACGATTTTTGCACCCTAAGACAGGGACAATGGAAACGCACCTGGCTTCCCGGGCAGGAACTCCCTGTGCAACCAGGTCCTGACAAGGTTTTCCTGGGAGCACATGATGTTTTCTCCACCTACAAAAACTATGGTTTTTACGACCCACACTAATGGATTCGAGCAAACCATGAATTCTGGAAATTTCAAAAAAAAAAGGTGATCCAAGCCATAAGAATGGAGCATTACGCACCAAAAAAAACAGATTCTACTATTTTACGAAACATGCGATTTAAGCAACAGGAGCGGAGGATTGCAATGCAAAGTGGCATAAATCTGAGGTTTTAGTTGTTGCACAATTGTACATATATAAATATGTATATATATATATGTATGTATATGATATGTATATGTATATGCAATGTGTATATATATATATATACATAAATATATGTATATATTTATTTATTTATGTAATATACATATATGTATATGTATATATATTGAAGCATCTAAAATGATGGATTTAAGAGTGTTCAAGCACCAAAATGGTGGACTTCTGCAGCAAAAACTCAGGATCCAAGCAGCGAAGAGAGGCTAAGCAACAGAAAACTTGGGTCGCCATATGTGCGTCAAAACATGGTATACATCATGATTGTGATCATTCATATCATTCATCCTATAATTTGAATCCTATGGGAAATCCTTAACTTATATTGTGAATATAAAGCTGTATGAGTAGATTGATGGCCACCCAACAATATATTGCTGTACAATCCAATTCTTGGCCCTGGCACTGGCATGTCAGCAACTCGCTATGTCGCCATGGCCCACATACTTCGATGATTTACCTTGAAAAAATTGTCATTTTCCAGTGCGCAAACTGTAAACGTTTACCAGGGGGTAACATTTGGTAACCAAATCAATGAATTGGTTTAAGGGAAAATTTGCAGGAAAGCCTCAAATTGAATGGGAAAATCTATGGTTTCCCGTTAAGATTTGCCCAAGAAAACCAATCCATTGAATAAACCAAAGGATCTCAGCCATGTCCTCGACCCAGTTTTAACCGCGTCCTCGGAACTCTGGTGCGGCACCAGGAACGAAGACCTGAGCCGCGGAGCCCGTTCAACCGAATCGGCCGTGAAGCGTCATCCTATGGATATATCATATATTATCATATATATGAGAGGCCAGCGTCAGTGCCCCAAAAAACAATATATAAGTCCTTTTAGGGCTTGGAAAAGAAACCCAAAAAAAAACTAAAAGAAACTTTAAAACAAAAGAAACCATAAGAAACCAGTTTGTGACCTAACTTTTTGAGTTTCTTTTCTCTCTTCTACTCCCAGCTGTCTCTGAAGCTGTGTGTCTCCATGAGAAAGCGTGAGCTCCATGTATTAGGTGTTCCTTGCCTTGGCGCATGGAAATCGTGAATGGTCTTGCCCCATATTATAATCTTTCTTTACCCTCTGGTAATTTAACATAGCTATGGAAAATCACCATTTTTAATGGGAAAACTCACTATAAATGGCCATTTTCAATAGCTATGTTAGTTTACCAGAGGGTAATCTGTATGTGACAATCTGCTCTTCTACTGCATTCTCTGTGCCAGAAAAGATTGCTAGATGATGCTAGATGTATTGATCTGATGCGAAACACCTGTGCAATAAGAAAAATGTTGCAAAAATGGCAAACATGTTTCGATATAAGTTGGCCGATGGTACTGCAGGTACCGTAAGTTAATATCTCATGTAGTCAGCCCCGGCAAAACTGTTGTGCTTTCTAGTTCGTATTTTCAAGACAGACCCCTAGACACTGACATGCCAGTGGTGCTCTGAGGCTCCAGATATAACCACCTTGTTTTGGAGATGGAATTTAAACAATCAAGGAGAAAAGGAGATGAAGAACAGAATTGCATATAATATATTTGCAAATATTGCAAGTTCGTCTTTATTTCATGATTAGCAATCATTGATGCAATTCGCGTGCTTTCTACTGAATTTCATACTATGCTAAAATCATACGGGGCTTGTCCGGTAGTGTGAGCATCAGTATATTGAAATACATCCCGCATTCAACGTACATCTTGGGCGCAGCTCCGAAGCTCCTCTTTGCCGAAAGCCCGACTTCCGACATTTCTTGGAGGTATGGGAAAAGGCACTTATCACTTAACCTCAATCTTGAGGCAAAGTTGGTGAAGATTTAAGGCCACCATGCCACCTATCTGACCTATCTTTTTGTTGGATGCATATGGCTGCCAATCTTTGCCACCCCCATTTGTACAGATGCTACAAACCTCCATTCATGGTGGAATGTTCCCACATTTTTCCATGATTTCCCCATGATTTCCCACATTTTTCCATGCTGAGTCGCACATCTCGTGCGGCCTCCACCGCGTTCTGCGACATGGCCGAAACGCGCCCGGCGCGGGGTTCGGTGCGCGACGCGTTCAACCCGTGGATAGTCCCAGCTTTGGGGACCGAGCAAGTTCCCTTGGGGCGCCTGGGATGATTTGAAGAAGAAACATGAATAAACAATGGGATTATAGCGGTATAACCATAGGAAAACCACAGGAAAACCATAAACAATGGGTAAACATGGTTAATGATGGTTAGTAATGGTTAATAATGGTTAATAATGGTTAATAATGGTTAATAGGGGTTAATAAATGTTAATAATGGTGAATAGTTAATGGTGCTGTTTCATACCCTCTGGTAAACGTTTACATAACTATGGAAAGATCCATCATTTTGAATGGGAAAACTCACTATTTCTATGGTCATTTTAAATAGCTATGTTAAATTACCAGAGGGTAAACATAATTCAACGAAAAATTGGCTTTGGTATCTGATTCGTCGTGATAGTAAGTGCTTCATAGTCGCATGTCATAGCTGGATGTCATACCAGTGCGGTACTTCCGGCCATGCTTTCCATGTTCATTGATTTTAGGCCCATCCAGAAAATACATGCAAATACTAACAAAACTTGGTTGCTGGCCCAAATATTCCCAAACACTTAAAATCATCCATAATCATCCTTTCTGTGCAAGAACGCCACATGTGAGCGTCTAGATTCCTGGCCGTCCGCCTGATATGGGACAATTTTTAGAGTGGTTGGGTCAACAAGGCACCCAACAGCAAGTTCCAGGGTTCTCGGGTTACAGGGTTCTGGTTTTTGACCTCGGCAAAAACCGCTGCACCACTCCCAGACCCAGAGATTGAAACCCAACAGTCACTGCTGTTGCGAACATCCTCAGTTGCATGACCCCCACCCGTGAGGTGCATCAACGTCCCAAATCGCATCTCTCCTGACGTTGAGACAATCGACCCTTACAGATCTTACAGCCGGATCGATCACCTATATGATTGCCATTTCGCATTGGAGACCAGGCGCCATTTCAACATTTTTGCGTTCAGTGGCCGCGGGTGTCAATCGGATGCTATACCATCATCTGGTGACATGGGCATTTCTCACTGCATCACTTGCAGAAGCTAAGTCTTTGAGAAAATAAAGAAAAAAAGGGGGCCACGCTTCTTGGAAACGGAGTGGCAGTCTTGCAGCTTTCCAAAGAGTCACAAGCCTGTTTGTGAGTCGATTCAACTTTGGTACGGTACATTGTGGTCACAAGATGGGCAGGGGTCAAAACACTGTGTTCAATTAACATCGCTGGTAGTATGTCAAGTATGTTCATCCTTCCGTTCAGATGTCCTATAATTAGGTATTGACCAATCACAATATCATATAAAATATATAGATATCATAACATATCCTCGTCTTTAATTACTGCCAATCCCAATATATATATATATATATATCCCACATGATCCCACATGTGTTGCTTCAAGAAACACCCATGGCCATTCCAAATTCATTCGTACAGCACTTGCTCAATGCCTCGGCTTCTCATTGGGTAGACCAGGCTTCTCTGCGCCTGTTGCTTCAAGGACATGTTGTGCCCTCGACTACTTAGATTATAACAGGGGACCGAATTCACATTTTCCAACTTCAGCACTGGATCATGTCAGTGACAGTGGGGCGCTCCCAACCTGGCTTCAACAAATACCTAGTCACCAGTCGTGGTCTGGGACCCAGTGTTTCGTGAGAGATGGAGCCGCTAAAAGCCGGTACCCTGGCTTCTGCAAGAGACCATTTCTGCCAAAAAAAATGCGTAGATTCTTGGGATTTACTGTGCTATGCTGCTATGTATGTATGGGTATATGCATATAAAAATAGATATCATGCACATGAATATATATATATATATATATATATTGAGCGATTGTGAAAACCCTAGGTTCCCGGAAAGGACATTCACAAATTTGGGAAGGTCCCATCGCTTACCACACGTTTGTACAATAATGATATATGGTAAACGTGGGGGGTATCGCTTGCAGGAAACGGCTGTATTTATATATATGTATATATGATGAACTATGAATAATATGTGATATTTGGGTATCGCTAATGTGGATATTAGAGAAATATGATGACATAACCTTGAAAAGGGGTATCGCTAATTTGGGAAGGTGCCATCGCTTACCTCGTGTTTTTAACAATTTCCATCAATTTCCATAAGCCAATGTCCGTCGAATACATATTTAGTATTGCCGGGGTTTTTACGGTTGCCCTGTGTGTATATATATATATAACATATATATATATATATATGTGTGTGTGCATTATATGTATTACATGTACTATATGTACTGCTTATATTTTACTATTTGTATAATAATATATATATATGTAACATATGCATAACATGTCTCATATATACAATATATGCTATATGTATCATATTTATCATACGTATCATATGAAATTACATGAATGAACTGAATTAAAATGAATTAACATGATAAAAATATAAATATGGTCTTTCCATTTCTTCGTTGTATCATCTTGCCATGCTTACTACTCTTTGCTGGCCATATCCAACGACCCGCTGTCCCCGCGATGCTTTGACAAGGAACCACCCAAGGCACACTGTTCAGGAGTCAGCCTAGGGCGGACCAGGGGCTCCCCAAATTGCACCAAAGGATAGAACTGTCACCATCAAAACCATCGGGATGAACTTTTTTTTTGGGGGGGACCCCTTTGCTACGTAAACTTTATACTTTTGGAGGCTTTCGGATAGCTGAGCTTTTCATGTATGGAACCATTGCGGCAGGCAGTCATAACACGTCACGTTCAAAGCGTGCCAAGACCCAGCCCTTCAACAGCCCGTGAAACATCAGTTCTAGCCACGAAGTTGCCTTAGCACACGCTTGAACATACATTTTTTCTATTGATTCTGAACACCAAGCGAGAAGGGTCATCTAGGTATGGCCACACCCAGAAGTTGCTACATCTTCCTTGTTCCTGCTGGTGCTGGCATATTTACCCGCTAAACCAGAGGTAAAAATGGATGTAAAATCATTTGCATGGCTGATCTGGGTTGTGTTTCCGCTCTTCCCCTTGCAGGCGCCATGTGGACCCTTCGATCACAGTGTTCACGACCATCCCGGCCATGGCCCCATCACATGTTGATCGATGCTTAAACATGGTCGTACTTAATACTGCTCAATATATTCAAATATTGAGTAATATATAATGGTTAATAATTGCCAATAAACCATGATAATAAATGATAATAAACACCCATAATCTCCAAGTTGGGTTGGTGCGACCTTGTGGTGTCCAAAACCTTGCTATCTTCCAGCCAAGCTGCTTAGCAAAATCCACCTCAGCAGGATGTTCCAGCCCCACAGGCTGCCTTCACTTCTGCCTCGTCCAGGCGTTCAATCAGCCTGGGGCACCCAAAGGATCCCAATGCCCAATGCCCGAGAAGTTGTCGGAAACTCTCAATCTTGTTGGGTCAGAATAATGGAATGGGGCCCAATGATGGCCCAATGAGGTCAAATTTTGGCTGGTCGAGACCAGCCAAACCCGAAGAAATCTGCGAAATTGATTCTGAGTAGATCATCCAAGACTCCAAGACCCAAGATAGAGAGCCAAAATGATCACTCATTGAAACAACCCAACAAACAAAGAACGAAGCCATGAAATGTTAATGAGCTCTCAATGACTTGCACCACCGGACAGTTAGAGGGTCTGAATGGAAAGATAAGCCTTTGCTTCGGGATTGGAATGGGGCCTGCTATTATGACCCCTGCTTTCACAAAAAGATCGCTCCTCACACATGGACAATGATGGCCTTCAAACTCGGACAACCCCGCCTTTGTACCTTTGCCCTAAAATTTGGCAAAGTTTCCAACCAGTTTCATCCCTGAATCCACTCTGGAATCCCATTTCATCGAAAATTGCATTGGTCAAATTTAGAGTTGGAAAAAGTTATTCGACTCATCGACCATTTTGTGTATGTCAAGTACCATTTCTGTATTGACCGTTCCTCTGACCATAGAAAAAACTTAGGACGTAAGCGTTTGTTCCCCAAAGTCTGCCAGTAAAAAGTTGCAAGTGACCTTCCAGTCATTGGGCGATGACCCTCATTCTGGAGACAGGAAAATCTTCCCTACAATCAATGGGAATTTCAGGATCCTAAAATGGAGGTACGTTAGTACCATATTTTCAGGCCATATTTTGCTGGGATATTCCCTGAAATTTAGGCCTGAAATATAGGCCTTATTTAATCCTTATTTATGGTAGGTACCTCCAATCAATCGGATCCTGAAAATCCCATTGATACAATGTGAGGCCCCCCAGTTGTGTTGATGTTTAAACCCATTGAATGTGAGGCCTCTCCTGTAAACCCAAATGTTCACCAAGTTCTGTGCGTCAGCTATCAGGGGGCCCTCACCTTGTGACAATGGCCCATTTATAGATACTTCACCGATGAAAAAACTGTGATTTTCCATAGCTATCTTAAATTACTGGGTATAAACCCAATGAATACTATAGTTACAAAATGTAACTAAGCATCATAAACCATTAAGGAAATTGGAGTTTTTTTCACCCACCAACTTATGTTCAATCATTGAAAAACGCTATCCCATGAAATCCCCATGGCTTGCTGGTTGAATCCACCATTTTCCACCGGGGGCCTCACCGTTACCGTCATGGCCCAACGTTCGATGTCCGGGAAACTCCTCCACCTGTTTGTCCATCTCTTCAGGCGATTTCACCGCCTGCAAGTGGCTTCCGAATGAGCTGCTCCGGTGTACATCAAAAAAACGTAGGGGATATCATGATATACATATGTATATATATATATGTGTGTGTGTATATGCGTGCATGTATATATATATATACATTTGTATGTGTATTTCTATATATATATATGTATATATGTGTAATTATATGTGTATATATATATATTTGTATGTGCCAAATATGTATTGGATTCATATGATTTCAAATGTATATGGGTTGGATAGAGTAACGATAGTCGTTGCGACTAGTGTGTTTGGACACTGTATCAAAACCATTCAAGACCTATATCCTACGTATAACATGACAGGATATGAACAGGGGATAACAACACTGGCATTAACATCCATCTAATGCAACAACATGTTGGCGTGAACAGCAGACCATACCGGTGCTTTGATCCATACCGCATATAAATCAGTATAAATCACGACTATCGAGGCTCCTTATGAGAATGCATTTGGGTGATCTTGGATCACCACTCCTTTGATGACAGAAACTTGAATTGAGGACCCTTATTTCAGGGCAGGATTCCGGATTCCGGATTCCGGCAAAGCAAGGGGCAAGCTCTCGTATGCCAGGCTGGGAGACAACCTTCGAACCAAGAAAGCCATGCGTCAAAATCGTCTGTATTGGGTGATGTCACTTGGAATAGGCATGTGCTCACAGAAATGTCCAGTTGTTTATGCACAAGTGGGACATGTACCCATGTCTCGCCCGGGCTCAGCTAGCCTGCCAGTGCAGGACAATGAACTTATCCTCAGCGGACTGAGCGAGGCTTTAATAATCATGCTTGCAGCCCCAGTTCTGGGAAAGGTACCACTCAGTACTAAGCTTCAAACCCGGCCTATTATTAAAGCTAATTGGTTATTGTTTGGGGAAATTTATTGTGATAGCAAATGTATCCACTCGAGTTTCCCATAGTTTCCCCTCAACAAATTCAACTAGACAGGGCAGGTTTTAGAATTCCAGATGAGTTCCCAATGATCCAAACAGGGGATGGGAATGGTCACAGGAGAACATCAGGGAGTCTCAACCTGAGCCCCTTTCATGGGGAGCTACAGAATCCATAGCTATTGAAGCCATGACCCATAGAAATCGTTGATTTACCCAGCTATAAAATGGTGACTTTTCCGTAGTTATGTTAGTTTACTTAGTTCTATATATACCAACAAGCTATGGTGATATGAAATGATATATGATATGCATATATGTATATATAGTTGTTATATATATATGTGTGTGTGTTATTTTCCATGCGTTCAAACAAATAAAGTTGGCTACACAACATACAGTACCTGAAGTCTGCGCACGGCGTGAAATTTCAAGCAAGGTCCCCCAAGAGATGGCGTTCAGTACCTCCATCTCTTGGGATACTTTATTCACTGCACCTTTCTTTGGGCTATATAGCTATATATATACATATATACATGTATTGTGTGTGTGTGTGATATATGTATCTATATACATATACATAAATAAACAATAATCACACACACATGTGTGTATATATATATAATATATAGAGATCTGTGTGTCACATTATTTTTTACCAGATTGAAATCTCCATCTCCCCAGTTATTCGGCCAAGCTTCCCGGAGCCAATCCTCCAAAAATTCATCGCTAAGGTCGTCTGCATCCAGTAGGACGAGGATGTCGAAATCTTCCGGGTCCAAGTCCTGGCGGAGTCATGGAATTTCGCCTAAAATATGAGTGAATAGGTCGATAACCAACATGTTCATCTTTGGGTTTATGGATGTTGATGCTAGATTTTTGACGTGAAGTAGATATATGATGATGTATGTAGATATAACAATGATATAACATGACATAAACGAGATCTCGAACTAGTTCATGAGTTCTAAACGCAACAAACACTGGGGAGCACCACCTTGTAACTTCTCCGGATGATACCGGCGGGCAAAATAGCTGGTACAATAGCATACAATAGCTACGGATGCAGACCCAGATGCAACGCCCAAAAAAGGTCGAATTGGGTGAAATCCGATTCTAAAACAGTGCTCTGGAAATTGTATCTATTTTCGGGGCAAGGCGATAGGCAAGGCTATCCCCAATGTTGATTTTAGCGCGAAGGTGGACGTGGCCAATCAATAAAAGACCGAGATCAGCCCCCAAGGGGGCCCCGTTGATCAAAACATCTTGCCCTAGGTGAAACATTGATGTGAAAAATTGATAAACATGGATGAACATGGCCCATTTCTGGTTGATTAGCTTCAGAAAATGGAGATTTTCCACATCTACATTAGTTTACAGGAGGGTAACTGTTTAGTACCCATGCCTCTAGGTCCACCACAGAGATCTCATCGCTGTCATCTGCGGTCTGCTGTTGGTGGGTTGGTTTGGCCGTGTATCACCGTGGGAAAACGTAGTGATTAACATTGGTTAATTAATGGGAAGAATAATGGATTAACAACATGGTTAATAATGGGATAATAAAACAATGGTTAATAATGGGATAATAAAAGAATCATTGGATAATAACAGGATAATAATTGGGTACCCTCTGTTAATCAAATACGGCTTGCTGGAAACTTCCCATTTAGTAATTTATGATTTTTCCCAGCTAGAAACCTCCATTTTTTGATGGGATGTCTCAGCTAGCCATGCTTGATTGCCGAAAGGTAACGTTGCTCATATGCGGTTATCGGTTAGTCACTAAATCACTCGATTGTTTTGAGGTGTGTAAGGGAAAATTCACAGGGTCGTCATTGTTCATCCAAGCCTGGGATGTATGACAAGGGAAAGGTGAGAGGACACGTAAAGATTTGTGAGATTTTGTGAGGCTAAATATACGCATGGAACATCAAAGACTATAGAACATCGTAGGACCCCTGTTTTGAATCTGGAAAAAACTTCCGAAAAACCATCGATATTCCTCTCAAATCCCGCCATATCCCGTCCCAGCCACGCCGAAACCTGTCGTACGCCACCCTTTTTTTCTCGCGTCAGAAGTCCCAGCAGCTGCCCAGTAGACACAGGGTCCAGGACTTTGGGCGGCGTGGATGGAGGTAAAAATCGTCCAATTGGCACAGCAACTGCTCCAGGGAGCCCTGCAGCAGTTGTAGGCAGATGCTGATGGCTAGTACTGCCAAAGCTGCGTGCAAGCGCCTGGAGGGGGAGCAAAATGGATTTAGGATTCATCATGATGGTGTTAAAAGGATTGCCGGGTTTCTGGTAGGAGTTTCTCGTGCAGCGATTGCTTACATCACCAGTCTTATTCATTGGTACGGTCCTGATTTGAAAAAGCGGATTGGGAAAAAATAAGGGAATCCCAGAATCCCAGGGACACAAACATAAGCTGCATTATCCACCATTCCCTACATCGGAAAAATACTGGGGATTTCACTTTCATCAGGCTGGACATGGACTGAATGGACATCCCACCTGAGGATACACCAGTCAGAACGCAATGTAAGGATCAGCATCTCCCAGAAACTCAAAACCAAGATGCAACAAGGGACCAGGCCACCCTGGAGCATGGCAACTGTTCCAGCCATGCAAAGGATGAGGATCAAAGGAGGTAAGATGTTGATGCCAGAGCTTCCCAACCTGAGGTTTGCTCCGAAATGATTGGATCCAACATGATCCAGCAAAACGTTGCCACATCTTTGGTGCCATATTCTTGACTGTTTGGTGGTGTCACCCCTCTCTGGATCATCTTCCAATGTTCCGGTGTGGAAACATCAAAACGCATTAAAACACATCAAAACGCACTAAGCAGCTGACCGAAACCCCAGATTCCACTATATTCCACTCACAACTGGGTTAAACCACCACCGCTTACATCCAGGTGAACCTTGGTGAACCACCCTGAAACTCCAAAAAGCCAGTTCCCCAGGTCTGGTGGATGTCCCGTGGATCGAAATCAATAGAAATCACTAAGCAGTTGCAGGCGGCAGCAAAACGGCTCCACGCAGCGCTAGGATCAACAGTAAGGGCTCCGTGGCATGTGGCGTGTAGAGCAGGATCCGCCAGGGCCATACGTGGGCACCCAAGCACTGACCATACCTGGAGGATATATCTGGACACCATGGAAACAAAAGAGAAATCTAAGGGAGATCTGAGGAATGTACCAAAGTTGAATAGAATTGCGAAGAATACGACATTCCATTAAATTGAGCGATGATCTAAATTTTAGAGCTTTAGTGAATCATGTGCCAAAGTTGAGGAGAACAGAGCCCTCCGGGATATATTAAATACATAAAGTTGATATATATATATATATAAATCCATTATCTTTGGCCCAGATTCTCCCAGCTCAAGAAATCTCTGGGATTCGCTGGAAGCATCATCGACTTTCCTGCAAAGGTATCATTCCGGAGAGGAAGCAGTGCCTCACGTGGGAAGGTAAAGTCCTAGGCCGACAGATTGGATTCATTTTTTGCCTCCTAAAAAAGCCAGATTTACTGTACGCAACGCTTGGGATCAAAACTACCCCAAAAATCCTGGGAGAACATGAAATTTAACCATTGGCTCGCTATTCGAACAAGAAATAGTGAGAACACATCGTCATACACATCAAAATCTTCAAGCAAGATCAAAACATATTAAAACCTCCAAATCCAGGACCAAAGTCTGCGTGGTCATTCCTGCGCTCCCACCATGTGACCTCCTTGTATCGTGGATCCTTCTGCCAGGGACGCAGCTCTTCGACCACGCCGTAGGCGAAAATGTCGATGCAAACGCCAGTTCTCTTGTCGGCCACGCGGCCCACCATGCGTTGATTGTCACCTGCACAGTCCTCCGGTTGAGTGCCACCCCCGGGCCCAAATGGGAACATCAAAATTTACGCTGGCAGCGCTCAAAATTGTGGGAGCTGCGTCAGCTAGGATCTTTGCTCTGTTTTGTCCAAAGCCCTACGTTCGGACATCTATGTTGGCAATACTTGTGACTCATGACGGAATAGATCGCCGAAAAATCACATGGAACCCCAACAAAAACATCCGGTTGGAACATGCCTTGCCCATTGAAATACAGCCATTTGATGGGTTCCAGGTTTTAACTTGGATAGCGTTCTGAACAGCTTTTCTTGAAAGAAATTGCACAGGGATGCCAACAGTTCAAATCTTCATCCACGAGTTCGATCCCAGAATTGTTCAGCCTCCTGAGGCTACAATAGTCCTGGGCAAATTATGGTGCAATTCCATGCAATTCCTAGGTCCTAAATGAGACATACCCTTGGTAAGTTCTCGAACCTATAGACAGTTAGCATTTAAGTGATAGGTAAATCATCGAACCAGATGGGCCATGTTCAATGGCTATTATTTATAATTAACAACCAAAGGATAACTTCACCTTTAGAGGGACAATCTATCCCTTCAGTCCATGATTTTTGGTATAGTCGACCAGTCCTCTTCGCAGCGACACGCAAATTTCAGCACCTCAAAGTTGGGCCCCAAGATGCTTTGCAATTTTGCCTTGGTCGCGCCTGACCTTAGCAACAGTGAAAACTCTTGGGGGAACTTTGCCATGGAATTTGGTCGATTTTTTACCTGCCAAGTACTTTAAGCTGGGACAAATCAGCTTGCGACAAATCAGCTTGCTATGCGGTTTTTTCCATGATGGAAAGTTGGAAAGAACCACAAAATGCACGAAAACTACATAGTTCATTCAGGACACACATGTTTCCAGGATAAATTATCTGGTTATTTAACATAGCCATGGTTTTTCGATGGCCCATAGAAATAGATGGTTTACCGTTCTTAATAGCATGGTGGATCTTTCCATGGCGAACTGTTCAACTCGATGAGTTTCCCTCATGTAAAACCTCCACATTTAGTGGGCGGGAAAAGAAAACATGTTTTTTTTGGGACAGAAGACAGTCTTCAGACCCCCCAAGTCCCCATCAATTCCATCTAAATATCCTAAATCGATTCCCAAAGTAGATCAAAGTCGTGGATTTCCGGAGCCAACCACATATCGCCTCCAGCCGTCGAACTCAATCGCCAGGTGGCCTTAAGCACTCCTCCAGCAAAATCCCCAAGTCTCCATCCGAATCCCAGGGCAGTTGCGATTTCTCATGTCGCAACCAGCCGATCAGACCCGCGGATTCTAAGAAGCCTTGGATGCCAACCTGGGTCGTCACGTGGAACCGGGTGCGTCCGAGGATTTCACGACTGGGAAATAGTGAAAGCGTAGAAAGAGCGAAACAAATCCAAACACACCTGGGACCGAATTCGAATATGTTTGGGCTAGGATATTTCAGGTGCTCGTCAAAAATGAATATTCTTGCTTGGATATTGGATTCAGATACGTGTCAAATGCAATCTAAATGGAAACAACTCTAATCTACCAAACTATATATGTTTGCTCAAAAAACAGAATGTCACCCACAAAAAGGGCATGTTAAAACCTAGTTACAGGCACAGGTTTTCAAAAATAGATTTCAGCAACTCGCATGGTGTGCAGGTGTCTTGGGATGTTCAGGGCTGCTACCGAGGTAGCCCATGCTTGCATTTTCCATCCTTTTCCCGGCTTAAACCACTTGGAGGTCATTTTGCACTGCACTATTTTAGATTCGGATTTTGCCAGATTTGATCTTTTTGGAGGGTTGCCTCTTTGACATGTATCTATAAGAATTCACTCACCTGAAAATGGCTATTTCCAAGGCCAGTAAAGGGGATGATTCCCCTACTAATTCATCATCGTTCCACTGACGTCGCCGTGAGGTTGTTATAATTTCACGAGCTCCTGGGATTTGGGGATTTTTAGGTGCAGTGTACGCGCACAAGGTTCTTATCTATATGTACATATATATATATATATATATATCAAATAACCTTCATCAACCATATTTTTTACCATAGAGTTTATCACTCATCACTATTGATCACCATAAAAACGATTGTTCGCTATATATATAATATATATCTATCTATCTATCTATCTAATGGATATTAATTGCATATTCTGAGTATTCCCATGCCATCCCATAAACTGTTTCCCATATCCCCATTATATTTCCATATAACCACTATATTCCCATTATTATTATACCAGGTATAGAACAATGATATTCCCAGTATATAGATGTATATAGCCATTCTAATTATTCCCAAAGGATCCATGTATGGAATATTTACCTACATTGGGATTATTTTAAATTACTTTAGGGGTCAATGTAGGTAAATATTCCATACATGGATCCTCTGGGCATTGTAATCCCATTATATCAGCATCATATTCTTGAAATTCCCATGGCCCATGAGCCATTGGCCTCTTGCAGTGCCCAGGCAGTCAGATGCGTTGCCTCCGTGAGCGCCTCCAGACGCTCCCGCTGCCGCATGGAGGGCTTCCAATAGGCAACAGCGAAGTGCTCCTCGAGCAACGTTTCACACGACATTTTGCAAAGGCATGGCGGTTTCATGGGGAAGTGGCGCTATGGATTCAAATGGATTTAATGTATGCGTTTATGGATTCGAAACCAATCCATGACCATGACTGTTTAAGTTTAATAGGGATTTGTGGGAAGAATTGGGAAGATGATGACAATAATGGAGTAGAATGGAGGATCTATGGCAATCATGGGGCCAAAAAAGGGACAGTTTTATTCCAACCTGGCCCCAAAAACAGGGGGTGTCGCCACCTTGAATCCAACGGGAAAGCCATGAGGGGTTCACATGTGCCTTTTCTGAGTGCCCACATGTGCATCATGGCAGACTTTGTAACTTCATCAGAAGCCGGGGATTTATGTTTCTAGCCTGTAGGCATACATGTGTGATGAGATATTATGAGTCAGATCTGATGTGTCCAATCCCGTGTTTTTATTGGGTTTGGTCGTTTTGCGGTGGCTGTTGTCTTGGGTGGATGAGTAGTACCAGCAAAAATGAACAGTGGAAAACATGTGAAAACAATCCGCCTCAGTGTTGAAGAGCGGATGGAGCACACTCGACTCCAGCAGTTCGCGCTCACTGTGCACCAGACCCTTTGTTCCAAGGTACACCGCGGTCAGAAAGAGACAACTACACAGCAGCAGCAGGTAGGAGCATAACATCCTGGTTCACTGGTTTCATGGACCACAACCTCTTTTTTGAGGTGAAGATGATCCCATTCAATCGGAAACAGCATCTTTGAACACCAACAAAATCCTCTCATGTTTCAAAACCTTTACTATTAAAGATCAAATCAGACAACCGGAATGTCAACAACACATAACAAAAGCATACTTGAAACCTCAGCGTCATTGGCCATGACACCTCCTGTGGCCCTTTCCCTTTCTCCGGCATTTCGAAACTGACGCCGCACGCCCAAAAAGAAGGCAGCTGGGTCGCTTGAGCCAACCATTCTGCGACCTTCCCCTGGGAGCAAAATACCCGTTGTCGCCGTTGTCTTCCATTTTCCACTGGTTGGTGGTTGACCTACCCCTCTGAAAATATTAGTCGATGGGAAGGATTATCCCATATGGAAAATAAAAAATGTTCCAAACCACCAACCAGTCCAATGTTTCACTACCTGATGTACGGTGTGTGTGTGTGTGTTCCATGCTCCATTTGGGGGTGTAAAGGTTGGCCCTGTTGAACTACCAACCGATGCATCACCTGCATCATTCCAGACACAGAGGACACAACCAAAAGCCCCAGCCCGAGGGTAATATGACCCCCTAGCCTTTTTATTTGCTAATTCAATTGCTTTTTTGGGATTAGTTTGAGGGTTTTGGTAGGTGATATAAATCTTACCTTTGAAAATCCTGATGCCGAAATGCCAATTTTGTCCGTTAAACCACAGCCAAATGTAACTATATAATTACATGGTTGCAACCTACTTTAATAGGCTTTAATTTGCGATCAACCCCAGTTTTTGATTTTGGGGTCTGCACAATGGTTTCTTAACTGCTTCCCATATCTAGGATGGATTAAAACATGTTGAAACTCCATGTCAACCTACTGTATGTTGGATAAACCCGTTTTGACGAAAATATAGCACCCCTAAAAGCCAATGGGTGATCATCACCTCTATTGAAAACACCACAAGTTCGGAATTAAATCCACGATTGTCAGACCCACCCAAATAAATCCCATGTTGTGCTGGTTATTGTATCATTCCATTGCATGACTGGTTAATAAGGATGTCCTGTTCATGGGTGATCACAATCCCCAACATAGTGCATCGTATAACCCCCTGCAATCACCAACCAACAGGGGTTTAGCAACCACTCAGTTGTCCTTTGCTGATTGATAGTTGTATTCTCTTCTCACTCTTCAGATTTTGAGCAGTAGCATGCAGGCGTCATTGTACGTACAGTAATTCAGTAACCACAGTACAACTCATGGGAGCCCCACAAAACAATGGCATGGTTGGTAAGGAAAAAAATCCAGTCTTCCGAGTGTGTCAAATTGAGTTGGTTTTGAATCCTGATGTCCCATATCCCTATTGTATTCCCAATATACTCCCCATGATATTTCCCCCTTTTGATTTAAAGAAGTGGTGGTAAAATCCATGTGGGCAACTAATGTTGTCTGACCAATAGTGATATCTTGTCAATAGTAGAAACTTTTTTCCGCAACTCCAGTTTTATCTCCAATACTAAAAGTCAATTAGCTCCATTTACTTTTAGTATTGCCAAAAGAGTCATGTTCAGACCTTGTCCAGAGGGCATGGCCAATAGTGGACCCAACATGGCAATAGTGGAAACTTTTTTCCCAACTCCATTTTTTTCTCCAATACTAAAATTAGCTCCATTTACTTTTAGTACTGCCAAAAAACTCATGTTCTGACTTTGTCAAGAGGGCATGGCATAGGTTTTCAAATGTTTGGAGAAAGCAAAGTAAAGCAAAACCCTTTTCAAAGCAGCAAGCACTTTTCATCAACAAAAGCTTAGATTCCAGAAATCTGATCCAATCATATACCAAACAGCTGATTTCCTTATAAAACCCTTATTTTTTTAAAAAAAAAACAAGAAAACAGGTCCACAAAGGATATCCCCTTTACAAGCCCCAGAATAGCAATAATAAACCTGCACTAGGCATGGCAATAATGAATTCCAATTGTGTTTCCCCTGGCTTTGTTTCAGATGTTTGGAGAAAGCAAAGTAAAGCAAAACCCTTTTCAAAGCAGCAAACACTTTTCATCAACAAAAGCTTAGATTCCAGAAATCTGATCCAATCATATACCAAACAGCTGATTTCCTTATAAAACCCTCATTAAAAAAAAAAAAAAACAAGAAAACAGGTCCACAAAGGGTATCCCCTTTACAAACCCCAGAATAGCAATAATAAACCTGCACTAGGCATGGCAATAATGAATTCCAATTGTGTTTCCCCTGGCTTTGTTTCAGATGTTTGGAGAAAGCAAAGTAAAGCAAAACCCTTTTCAAAGCAGCAAACACTTTTCATCAACAAAAGCTTAGATTCCAGAAATCTGATCCAATCATATACCAAACAGCTGATTTCCTTATAAAACCCTCATTAAAAAAAAAAACAAGAAAACAGGTCCACAAAGGGTATCCCCTTTACAAGCCCCAGAATAGCAATAATAAACCTGCACTAGGCATGGCAATAATGAATTCCAATTGTGTTTCCCCTGGTTTTGTTTTCAGATGTTTGGAGAAAGCAAAGTAAAGCAAAACCCTTTTCAAAGCCGCAAGCACTTTTCATCAACAAAAGCTTAGATTCCAGAAATCTGATCCAATTACCAAACAGCTGATTAACCCAACCAAATCCATTCAGAATCCATCAGAAACCCGACAAAACCATGGAGAATTTATCAGATACATATCATGATCCCAGCCAAGGGGTTCCAAAAATTTACTATTGGAATGCTGACCCCCCCTAAAAAAAATCAAAATCCTTTTATTTAGGGGGGGTATTTACTATTGTGCAGCCAACATTACTGGTTTCTACTTTGTTGGGAATATATTGATGGTTATTATTGTTTAATTATATGCTATATAATATGTAATTATATATAATATATGTATGCACACATTCCCCCCGTTCCCTTAGAAAAACGATTGTATTCCCCATGACTGTATATCCCCCAGTATGTTCGCAACATGATTTATTACCCCTAAGAAATATCACTATATTCCCCGTTAGTAGGTCAGGAAATATATAACGGGATAATCGGCATAATGGGTAATAAAGAATTATAGCGAATTTTCACATGAATACATTCATCGGGAATATGACTTAGGATAATGGCAATGGGAATAATTATCATTCACGAATACCCTTTCATATTCATTATAGCTATATATAGCTATATTATTTAGTATTCCATCTGTTGGGAACACTATAATATATCATAATACACCATAACTATACATTTAAAGACCGTTCATCCCCATTCATATGATATATTACCATCTGGTTATTTAACATAGCCATGGAAAATAGCCCATTTATAGATGGTTTACCTATTAAAAATGGTGATTTTCCATGGCTATCTTAAATAACCAGATGGTAAATACCCTATTCATCCCGATTTTCCACAGCAAGGAGTCACTCCATCCGAGGCGCCACGACTTAGGCTCCGCGAAAAAACAGACTTCGGCGCGACTCCGGCGACGAGGCCCAGGGAGCGGTCCTGCAGGATGGGGCCCTCCAGTGATGTTAGTTGGTTTATAAACCATAACAAACCCCCATTGATTATCTGGTAAACTAACATAGCTATTGAAAATGGCCATTTGTAGTGAGTTTTCCCATTAAAAATTGTGATTTTCCATAGCTATGTTAGTTTACCAGAGGGTAACTATCTGATCATTGAATCATATCTGTATAAAATTCTATACACCTATATATATATATACATCTCTGTGGCAAAATCTGGCCTTTGGTAATTATTCGCCAGATCAGCTCCTGGCATAAATACATATACTGGTTGGTGGTTTTAACCATCTTGAAAAATTTGAGTTCGTCAATGGGAAGGATGACATCCCATATATGAAATGGAACATAAAAAATGTTTGAAACCACCAACCAAATAGTTATATCATGTTATATCTACCAAAAACCATCGAATTCAGCCACTTATAAGTTATATCTACCAAAAACCATCGAATTCAGCCACTAGGCAACTGAACGCTATCGAACGGGGGCCCATCCTGCACATGGAAATGTATAGGGGAAAGATCTTTGTTCATATGTTGGTACATCCGAAATCCGATATGATCGATTCTTGGTTGATGTGGTTGTTTGTTCATGTTGTTTTCGGCGAGATTCGTTGATGTTTCCATTCTTTACCCAGATATGATATGTTCAAGTATTTTCATGTAGCCGTGGTTCACTTGTGATTTGGGATTGGCATTCCAAAAAAGACAACAAACTTGGCGGAGTACCACTTAAGTTTGCAGATTCTTGGCGGGGCTCAACATGTTTTTCCAGAGGTAATTGTGCCACCCTGCTGCTTGGGTGCGAACTCTCAAAAATTGCAGTGGAAATCAAGATAAATACCTGTTTTTTTTTAACGCAGCTTGCTTGAACATTCACCATTTTTAGTTGGACAAATTTCCCATTTCAACCTCCATTTAATTTACAGCATAGGAAAAACTTATCAGCCGGCCATGTTTACCTGAGGGTACACATGGTGAAATATCTTGAGATCCCTGACCAGCGGTGCCTTCTTGCGCCTTTCCACAGCTGCAGCGGCTGCTTTGGCCAATGCTGGGGAGGGCGCCTGCAGAACTGTGTCGCGGGTAAAGGTGCCAGCTGACACCTTACAATGGGCCCGAAATGGGTTCTGTTGATTTGGGTTGAACGTAGCTATCTCTGCAGTGGGATGGGTTTGCAAACGAAATTATGACTGAGGGGGATCAAAAAAAGGTGAATTGGAAGGGTCCAAACAAAATTGTGCCGTGCGATAGATCTCCCATGCCATTGGAGGACTTGTTAGCCACGATTCCTCAAGTATGAATTGCGATGCATCTCCGAGCATCAAGCAAGGGATGGGCGAAAAATCGGGATTCGCATCAACGGAAAGATCTTCATGAATTCACGCCATCCACCTATCTGGGTGGGTCTCAAATATGAAAGTCACTGGGGATAATCATCCCAAAAATAGCTTAAACACACGAAACTACCAAAAGCCATGACAATGATAGCATCCCCAAGCTCATCTAGTAATCTAGTAGGTATATCCCCTTTATATGTTGATCTTTATTGATCTTTATTGTTGTTTTTACAGCATGCCCAACCACTGCATTGCCCTGCGGGGCTGCCAAGGGGCAATGACTAGCACGTTGTGGGCGAACTGTGGCCCATACCTTGGGAACTGGTCTACTTGGAGGAGAGTTCCAGAAATGGGTTCCAGTCATCCATCAAACATGGGATGACAACAAAGGACATCCTAATATATATATATATGATATATGATATATATTATATATATTATATATTATATATATTATATTATATATTATATATTATATATTATATATTATATATTATATATATTAGAATCCTAGTATCATACATCCTGACTTCTGACTATCCCTTAATATCCCTTAATAATCTCAAATATCTAATTCCTCTACCAAAAGCCTCAGTCATACCAAAAGGCGGCCTCAGCTTAGCTTACAGCAAATGACCCACAGTGGCCGGGTGGCAGAGACCATCCATACGTTAAAAAATATACCCTGCAGTCATCTATAACCTGGCTGGAAAATCCATTCTTTACAGATGATTTTGCTATTAAAGATGTAGATTTTTCTAGACTTTTGTAGCAAAGAAGCAGATTCTACTACTCGTGATGATTGGGATGGTTCAGATGATCAAGATGAAGGTTTTCAGCTATAGCTGTGGTTGCACTACTCCAACTGCCATCAGTGACCCAGATTATCTACCTTTCCGATCCACTTGGGGTTCCTTAAGATTCTATGTTGCCATTGTCGCAATTTTCGCAATAATTCTGAACAGGGCACCCTTGCTGAAACTTGCCGTTGAGATGCGCGTCATCTCCTAAGCTTTGAAATGCATTGGGCATTGCATGGCACTCCGCCTTGCCCTTGAGGGGCGGTAGAGATGCCAGCGCCAGCACGATCTCGGAGTGCAACGTTTGAGCCCGGGCAGAAAGGGTCACCAAAGCGCAGCATAACAAAAAGGCCTCAGAAGTCATTGACATTATAGTAAGATAAGGCGTCCCTTTGAACTTTTCATGATCTTGACATGGAAAAAATAGGTGTGTAGTCATCATATCTATTTTGATGATTTTTGATGTCACTTTTTCTCTGCAATGGTCTTGTGGCTGCTGGAAAACTTCTAGGAAATATTGCATTTAACCCTGGTATGATTCTGTTGTCGCTCGGTTCAAGGGAAAAGTGTATTCCGGAAAGAGCAGAACCAGTAGATACCCAAATGATGATCATATGGCGGGCCATCCCACCTATCTGCCTTCATGTATGACTAGTAGGCCCCCCCCCACTGGCTTTTCTTCCATTCATAAGCGCCAATCTTAGAACCCCTGCAAATGATTGAATTTTTTGATACTCTTGACTGGTTTCCCAGGGAAACGATTTTCATAGCAAAAAACTGATACAGTATAGTTGTGATTCAGTTGTGATTCAGTTGTGTACAACCTCAGTTATGCACTGGTCGTAAAACGAAGCGCTGCGATCAGCAACTCTGACCGTATTTTTTCGCGCTCCGATTCCGTGCCAGCGAGTGCAAGTGCCACGGCCATGCGTATGACCAACGTGTAGTTGAAGCATGTTAGAGGTCGTAATCCACAGATGTTGCGCCAACAAAAAGTGGAGAAATAAGACACTGGGCATCAAATCGGCATCAAACCCCTTACTGTCTGGTTCTATTCCCTGCTTTGCGGCTTGCACACGCCTTTCACAATTCACTGGCACATGGTACTCAATTGGATATCATTCTATTATTGAGTTGAAAGAATACTTCCTTCTGTATGGCCAAAACTATATATATACACAATATGTATGTATGTATGTATGTATGTATGTATGTATGTATGTATGTATGTATATATACGCCCAGGACGCTTGGTTCGCCGTCGGCTGGAAAGCAACTTTTCTCAGGTCAGCCAAGGTACTTTAGTCTCATTGAAACATTCAGCAGGGGCGATTCGCACTGTTCCTGTTGAACAAGCCTGCCGATACTTCTTCATCGCAGTCAGCACTGTTGTCAGCCCTGCCTGGCGGTGAAGTGCCGCTGCTGCCAAGACCTGTACATTGGCGGCTTTGGTTCTCTTTCTGTGGCGACCTGAAAACATACCGATAACGTGGCATTTCCACCCTGAAAACATACCGATAACGTAGCTTTTGGATAACGCATTTCCACCCTGAAAACATTTCCACCCTGAAAACGATAACGTGGCATTTCCACCCTGAAAACATATCGATAACGTGGCATTTCCACCCTGAAAACATATCGATAACGTGGCATTTCCACCCTGAAAACATACCGATAACGTAGCATTTCCACCCTGAAAACATACCGATAACGTAACATTTCCACCCTGAAAACAAACGATAACGTAGCATTTCCACCCTGAAAACATAGCCGTAGCATTTCCACCCTAACCGATAACGTAGCATTTCCACCCTGAAAACATAACGATATCGTAGCATTTCCACCCTGAAAACATATCGATAACGTGGCATTTCCACCCTGAAAACATACCGATAACGTAGCATTTCCACCCTGAAAACATAACGATAACGTAGCATTTCCACCCTGAAAACATATCGATAACGTGGCATTTCCACCCTGAAAACATATCGATAACGTGGCATTTCCACCCTGAAAACATACCGATAACGTAGCTTTTGGCGACCTGAAAACATACCGATAACGTGGCATTTCCACCCTGAAAACATATCGATAACGTGGCATTTCCACCCTGAAAACATACCGATAACGTAGCATTTCCACCCTGAAAACATTCCGATAACGTAGCATTTCCACCCTGAAAACATAACGATAACGTAGCATTTCCACCCTGAAAACATATGGATAACGTGGCATTTCCACCCTGAAAACATACCGATAACGTAGCATTTCCACCCTGAAAACATACCGATAACGTAGCATGTCCACCCTGAAAACATATGGATAACGTGGCATTTCCACCCTGAAAACATACCGATAACGTAGCATTTCCACCCTGAAAACATACCGATAACGTAGCATTTCCACCCTGAAAACATACCGATAACGTAGCATTTCCACCCTGAAAACATATCGATAACGTGGCATTTCCACCCTGAAAACATATGGATAACGTGGCATTTCCACCCTGAAAACATACCGATAACGTAGCATTTCCACCCTGAAAACATACCGAAAACGCCCCCCCCACACCCCACCCCCCCCCCATCCCCCCCCAAAAAAAACAAAAAACATGCATATACACCGACGGCAAACCAAGCGTCCTGCGGGTATATATATATACACAATTATATACATACACATGCACATGTTTATATGCTCTTGTTAGATTGCATCCCAACTTTTTGTTGCTGGATCTAGGCCCATGGTTATTCCACACATTTTGGGCGGCTTTGAAACAAAATAGAACAGCTTTTCCAGGATGTGAGAGATGAGAGTTCTCTGTAACTAGTATAAATATAATAATAACAACAACAATATTAATACTAATGCTACTACTAATAATAATAGTAATAATAATAATTAATATTAATAGTATGTATATGTATAATATCATTATGTATTCATAATATAATATATATATTTTTTTCTATTATTCCATCAAATAAGTTATATACATCATCCTCATCATTTCCGAGTCTCCAACTTTGTCCCACCGTGTGAAACGCGATTTCTTTTGGTATCGGTGCTTTCCCACAACAGCTGGTCATAGCCAGGTCACAGCGGTCTCCGGCGATCGCCTTCATTTTTGAGGCGTCGAAAAAACGCTGCGGGGATGTGACAGCGGTCCTCATGCTGGACTCATGCTGGACTCATGTGGGGAGAATTTCCGAGATCTGGGAGTGTTTCTTGTCGGGGTTCATATGGGCTCATGTTCAAACATATGGAGGTTTCTTCAAATGTGGCTACCTCGAAATCATCCAAACTTAGATTATTCTAGTATTATATAATTAAATTACCCTCTGGTATATTTACACTTCGACGGCAGTCATCGGGGAAGATTCGAGTTTCCATGAAAAAAATAGGGTGCTATTTTTAGGGTCAAACTCTTAATTTACCAGAGGCTAATCTGGTTGGTGGTTTCAACCCCTCTGAAAAATATTAGTCAAATGGGAGGAGTATTATTCCCAATATATGGAAAGTCATAAAACTCATGTTCCACACCACCAACATCCACCAACCAGTAATTGATTCTATGGCACTATTGGGATCCATGCCACAAGAACCCCCCTTTGAGGGATCATCCGCAGAAACCAGCGCTGGGTTTTTTTAACATGGCAGCCATTTTTTGAAGCATCTTCCCGCGAGATCGGAGCCGACAATAGATACAAAAGCCCCTGTTTGCTGTTGCCATGGCTGCCATGAAACCCAAATTTTCCCAAATTCATTCTTTGAACATCACTTTTGGTGGTCAAATCATGTCAAATCGTCATGTTCGACGTTCATCCCCGCGCGTCTGGAAAAAAATCGCTGCAGAAGGGACCTGAACTTCTGAACTCAGCCACATCTGTTCAGAGTGGAAATGGGCCATGGGTGTGCTGAAATATGTTCCTGGAAAACGGCCAAATCCCCAAATTCGGTCGGCTTTGGTGTTCAAGTTGCACTTGAAAAAACATTGTCCAATCCAACGTCTAGATTCCTAAACCGCTGATCTTCTCAATTAAGTTGGTCAAAACACAATGTTTTGGCCGGAAAACCCAAAGGATATGACCTCGAGCCCCAATCATGGGTACTTGCAAAACAAACAAACCGAACATCACTTGCAAGCCAGCATAGGCCAGCTTTAGTCTTGGTGGTTTGTTGGTGCCTTGCTAAGTTTGACTTTTAGTGGGGTCAATGGAAAGCAGAGCCATGTCACCCCAACAAGGTGTAAAGGTATGTCAAAGTGAGGTGTTTGGCACTCCAATACATGCAATTGTGGCTTCCAACCTTGCATTGTCCGGTGGGCCAAACAGTCAAACTTTCGGCATGACAGGCCACAACTGAGATGTCAACACAGTTCAAACAGAACAGTCTGACAAAACAGCCTGTTATGTCCCAAGGTCAATGGTCTGCTCCAAGCGCATCGGATGTAGTTTCCATGTTACAACTCATCCCCAAAAAAAACACCCTATGTAGTCAGTACAGCCACCCAAGCGCAAGGCCAAACAACCCCAGATGTGCAACCTGGCTGACTTAAACCAATCATCTGAAAGTAGGCCATTTCAAGATTGCTATCTTAAACTCATCATCATAAGAACATATCCACAACCACGTTCCTAAACTAATCATAATCATTCTAAACTAATCATTGATGCTAGAATTATTAGAAACTCATCAGAACCATTATAAACAAACTACAGTAATCATCATATTTCTGAAGGCTTCCCAGAAGTTCAAATTCCAAAACGTTCCACATCCAGCCATCCACGGAACGGTACCACAGCTTCGGTGGTCGCTCACTGCGGGAGGAAACCTAAGGTGAATGGAAGGGCCATTCCATGGGAACCCTCTGGCTGGGCATGATAAATTCCCGTTTATGGAATGACCATCCCCTCAATATGGTTGTATAAATAAAAACAAGGTGTGCATATATCGATATAATGTATATATACATACATACATACATACTTACATACATACATACATACATATATATATATCTATCTATCTATCTATCTATCTATCTATCTATCCCATAGGATCCATGTATGGTATATATGCTAACATTGGGGGTATATTGATGGGATCCATGTTACCATATATAGCATACATGGATCCTATGGGTGTATATATATATATATGTGTGTGTGTGAGAGCCATGGAACTCCACACAACAGAATGTAATGCCCAACAACCTCCCCTGCCAGTCGTGCTGCTGCACTGATAGTCCTGCTCTCGAGGTGCGAGAATCCCATTTTCTCCTACTTCAATGGCTAGGCTAAACGGAAAGGCTGAGGGCTGGAAGTTCGGAAGTTCATGTTTTGGCACCCAAGGATGTGTGTAACATACTTGTTGGCTCTTGCTGTACCCTCCCGGCTCCCGCTAGCCCATGATCACCGACTTAATCATACAACTAGTCCCAGCACAAGTGAGGCAAAATAAATAGTCCAAGTCCCAGCAATTTGCCATTCATAATCACTAGTAATGTCATCATCCCAGCAACCCCCAGCAACCCATCCATTCCCATCCAGCAACCCTATGTATTTAGCACCAGTAAGACAATGCCAAGGCACTTTGTCTGGACATAGATTGCATTAGAGTTACCTGCGCCAACGGTCGGTCATCCGTCATCCCACCACAGGAGTCGAGTTTCGGTAGACGAACAACCCCTACGTGTTAAAACCCCATCAACTATATAGTTTTTTGAGCACATATAAGTACATATAAACATCCATAAACAATAGTGAAATTGGAGTTATTCAGCCACCAACTTAGCCAACTAGCTATCATCAATCAGCTTTAAATCCCATTAAATGCCAATTTTTGCCTGGTTAAATGCTATCATTCTCCTATGGGCTTACCCAGCCTGGTCCCCTCAGTAAAACAACCAGCAGTCCCTCGGTATCCCTCGGTCCATCGCCTTGCGAAATGCCGCACCCCACCTGGCATCGTGGTGTGGAAGATATCCGGCACCAATTTTTCTGGTAGAAATCCCATTATAATCCGGGTAAAAAATGATTCGTAGGAATCTCAAGAGTCACAGACTGGTGCAGCATCTACAATTGAATCCATGGTTTTAAAAAAAAACGCAAATCCATCATAAAAAAAACGCAAATCCATCATCCAAGTCTGGGAATGCCCTTAATAACTTATAGCCTGTCATTTTTCTAGTCGAATCACTGGGCTAAACTGCGGAACTGCGTCTGAAAATCGCCTTCTCGAAGCGTTCAGCTAAGCTAAGGGCGAGTGAAAAACAACCGCTCCACCAGGGTAGAATCTATCTATCTACCTATCTATAGTGATATCTATTTGCCTATCTATCTAATTTATGAGTGAAGGAATTATGCTTCGTAACGACATCTAATCCGCCTGTTTCTGCGCCTTCAAAGCCAGGGTTTGAAGATTCCACCAATCTAAACCACGTCTGGATCCGTCTGGTGATTCAATATGGGAAATCCATGGAAATCCACCACTTCTATGGATATAGATCTTGTGAAAACCATTGGTTTTCCATATCTATGGTAGGTTGCTGGAGGGTAAGCATTGTTGCATTGACCGGTAGCAGAAACAGAGGATATGATGCTCCTGTCCTGGAAAACCAAAAGCACCATGAATTACATGCAACCCCAATGACCATTGATGAGCACCAGCAACACTGTTCCAGCAGGAAAATCCCCAGCAGAGGAGTGCCGGCTTGGTGACCGTTTTTCGATGGAAAATTCCGCAGAATTCCACGTTGCTCCCACCAAAAATCACCGAATCATTAATCAAGAATTATTTTATTGGTACATTAATCACCGAATTTTTAATATCCCAATAATCCTGGATTTAGATACGGACATTTCAAAAAATCCTCACTAAAATGGAAATATCTTTGAACATCCCACACTCTATATAACTCCAGAATAAATTATATACATACATTACTCCAAGGGTACATGCCCGAGAAGCTTGCTTTACCACTTATTTGAGGCTCCGGTTTTGGGGCCTTGGGCCCACCTAGGCTTTGAGAAAATGCGCCCCCAATGCCTTAATAAAAAACCCACCAAGACACGAGGCATGAATCGCAATGGCTTGGACGCAAAACTCCTAAGGGGTTCATGAAAAACTACTAAGGCGTGAGTTGCAAATCACAATGACTTGGACGCAAAACTACTAAGAATGTCCCTCAAAAATTGAAGAAAAGAAGAAGATAATTACTTCTTTTTTTTTCTTTGGGCATTTTGTTACTAGTTTTGCGGCCGAGCCAATACGAATTGCGAAATTGTCCTTAGTAGTAGCTTTTGAACGCATTCTTGGTAGCTTTGCGGCCAGGCCAGTACGAAAAGCGACACCGTGCTCAGTAGCATTTGAGCACATTCTCAATAGTTTTGCGGCCAAGCCAAGCAAATACGAATAGCTAATTTAACGCTGCTTCCGCGTGATGTACGTGGATATGCGCACGCGAACATGCCCCTGCTCCCCAGGAATCAACGTTGCCATTCACAAAAGCCAGTCTTGCTGCATTTCCTGGTGTAGCTGCTTTGCAGAGTGCGGAAGTAAGCCAACTTTGATGTCTGCGGGTGCCGGGCGTTGCGCCCAGGGTCCTCTACACTGCCGCTGGATGTACACATGTCTTTGCATTGCTTGCGGCAGTCAAAGTTCAACCTCGCATGCTGGCTGCAGAACAGCACGGGCATCCCTGCACCTTTTGAAACGTTCCTTTGGCTTGCACTGCGACGCGGACCCATTTTTGGGGCTGGGCCTGCATGCTTTTTGCCTTCCTTCTCTGCGTACCCTGCATGTGAAACCAGCATCCTGGCACCAAGCGCAAGAAAACATGAATGAAAGATGCAACCTGTCGCAGCTCAACGCGCTCTTTACAGAAGGCAAAACGCATATACCATGGGCCCAAAATTGGGGCCACAAATTTGGAAGCTGGGCCACTAATTTTAATAGGCCCATTTTTGGGTCCAGAATCTGGCCCCTGCTTTGGGACCACAAAATACAAACAGGAGCTATTCAATACGGCGCAAGTGTGCTACTGCCGCCGCAAGCTGACAGCGGCACATATCCGTGATACTGTGTATATATATATATATATGCATATCTGGGTAAATTAAAGCAATTCACTAACCTGAAATAAGACAATCTTGGGGATAATTCCCCTAACCATGATCATAGTGAGGTCACAGTGAGGTCGTTATAATTTACCCAAATAAATAAATAAATAAAGATATATATATATATTTATTTATACATGGAAGTTTCCGAAAATGTTGGTACCCCCAGTCATCATCCATTTATAGCTGGCATTTTCAAATGCCAACCATCCAGCTATTGGGGTACCCCCATGCCTCTTCTTGCCCGCGGTCGCCAGTGTGGACGCCAAGGTCGCCTGCAAAAGTCATTGGATTCACATAGGATCCAACGTGGATGAACCATTGATATATTAGATTAATATTAAATATTAGTGAACTGTTATATGATAGTTTTAAAACATGTTTTTTTTTAAAAAAACAAATGATTAAGAGGTGGATGAACCATTGATATTAAGTGTTAAGTGTTTTATATATCATATATCATTAATGGATGAACATCCTACTTAGGATTAATTCACACATTATTATATATATACATCCACCTTTAATAGATTTGATCCAGCCAAAAAGAAAAAACATGACCTGATGACATAGGATTAAGTAATTTCTTGAGGTATTTCGAGCACTTCGTCACTGGTGGGAAACATAATAAATTACAAAATATTACAAATCGAACGTGGCAAATTTGAGATGAACATGTGTATCTGTGATCATGTCTTAGAACATCTTAGAAGTATACTAATGTGGCTATATGTGGGTTTTCACAATGTCATCAACCACCCATGACCTGATTTTCTTCCGAGAAAAAATGGATGCCATACAATGGCTCATTATGTTTCACATTCATCATCCCAGTGTTTTGTACAAACTTTCCATAAGGCAAAAAAAAACAAATCAAAAATGGATGTAGTTTTTCCATGTTTTTCCTATTGGATCCAGAGTGACTCGGGGCCCTTGAAACATGGCGCCCGCCTTTTCACAGGTGTCCAAATCGTTGGCGTTGGACAAGGTGGAGCGCAACTGACGTCCCACCTCCGGTGGGGGATGGATCCATCGGATCCCAAGGGTCCCAAGGTGGAGTGCCTTTTCAGCAATCATTGGACCATTAATAGTGGATTTTCCCATTAAAAATGGTGATTTTCCATAGTTTTTTGTATGTTTACCAGAGGGTATTTTCTGAGAAATTGGTGGTTTCCACAGTCACTAGGTAGTACCCCCATAGCTGGATGGTTTATTTCATGGAACATCCCAATCTAAAATGGATGAGAACTGTTGGGGTACCCCCATGACAAAGCGGAAACCTCCAAGTTTTGTACTTGGAGGATCATCTCACGGCTCGTGGTTAGCAACTGGGGTTATAATCTATTGATACAAGTATCTGGGTAAATTATGGTAAATTATAATATTTCACTTACCTGAATCTTGCGGCCATTTGGAGATGATTCCCCCTACTAACTATGATATACTATGATTATAGTGAGGTCACAGTGAGGTCGTGATGAAATTTACCCAGAACAATCAACTGTCCATAATCCATCTCTTTAGGGAATACACCAACTGCAAGTTTATACACAAAAAAACACTAACAGGATGCTGCAAACCACAGTACTTTAGCAGTAAAATGTTTGGATATTTTTGGTATGGGATATGTCTTCCACACACGGAACATATGAGTTGGGATGGGTACATAACAAGCATTCTGGAGAGTTGGGAATCAACTGACTATATAATCGACGATATTTTTATTGCCTACAGGTACGTGGTATGTATGCATGTATGATTTGTATAATGTGCATGTATTTCTGCAGATGTACCTGCAGAAACTGATACTGGCGTGATCTGGTATGTCCAAAAATGGAAAGACCAGCCGGATCTGTTGCCCTCCCAGAGATCGCAACCAAAAAACGGTGAATCTATGGCTGGATCCATTGATCCCCTACCAAGGTGGCTTGGACTTGAACCCTCGATGTCAGCAAATGCCCCTCACCAGCTCACCGCTGCCCTGCTGATCTCGCGACTAATCCCTTCCCCCTAATTCCAAATACCACCACACAAGACCCTAGCTGGTTGGTGGTTTCAACATGTTTCAACCCCTCTGAAAAAAGTGAAAGTCAGTTGGGATGATGAAATTCATTGAAATTCCCAATATAGAAAGTCATAAAAGTCATGTTCCAAACCACCAACCAGATAATGGTTAAGAACCATCAACATGATGTTATGGATGAACCCTATATATCATATGTTGGCCCTATGTATTGGATCTGTTCATTTTGGGGGCGTTTCTTTTTTGGGGGACCCTCCACTCCGGAGGCATCCGTTCGGAACCTGATCCGCTTGCTGAAGACCCTGTGGGAACTCCTTATTCAGCTCCTGCCGGGTGAACCGGTGAACCCCAGGTGGGTGCCAGGTGTTGCCCGAAATCCTCACCTCGAAATGCACGATAGCCGATAGAAACACATGGAACATGCTAGGATTGAACCAGCAAAATCTGCCGGGGGTTCATGGGATGAGGTGAATTCTCTATGGCTTGATTGGAACTGTTCAAGGGGTTTATCAACCAACAAACATCACTGGGGAGGGGCTACAATCACCATTTTGAAGAGGTGAATCATCGGATCAAAAGGGGCAAAGGGCTCTATGGCTGTGAATTTCTCACCAGAGGTAGCCTCTGATTCGTTGTTTTCTCATTGGTGCTGAAAATTTACCCTGGCTAAAAATAGTTACAGTATGTTACAGTTACAGTAAACCATGTTAAAACAAAAACAGCTATAGTCCATAGTAGCTTTGTGTCAATATAGTCCATGGGAATTATCGTCCCATTCATTGAGGGATGGAAATGCAACATGTTTGAAGCCGCCAAAAGCAGAATCACGACAACAAACGTCTCAATGCATCTCAACACCATCCTATATTGTCCCAGATCATGCCGTTATCGCCGTTTTTTGATACTCAAATATCCCCATATCGTTGAGTTTGCATGGAATGGGAACAACATCACGTCAGCAACAAGGAAATCTGCATCTGGTGATATCCGATTTTTTGCCATCTCGATTCTAAGTCCACGTGCTGGAGCACAGGATCTTGCTGTAAATCAATACATAGTTGTTGCAAGATTGAAGATTGCTAAATCCATCCAGAAATACTTCTGACTAGGTTTTCCCGTGTTTCTCTTATCATCCGAAAATGGGATGGCCAACCCTGGTGATGAGAGTTCATGGCACCTTTCTTCTCTGGACAATTCAACCAAACTTCCCACACACTTCAAAGATATGACATATGTTCATCAACACTCAACCGATGCAAAAACAATAAACAACAACTGTTGAGAATTCGTGTTGTACACAATTGATGTTACCAAACATCCAGCTTGATCAATTCACCTATCATCTTAAACAAATCCAGAAAAAATGTCCTTTTCTATACCATCTATCATCATTTACCTGTTGTTTTTCAGGGGTACCCTCTGGTAATTTAACAGTTTGCTATTGAAAATACACGATAAAAATAGTTGAATTACCTATTCAAAATGGTGATCTTCTATAGTTATGTACACGTTTACCAGAGGGTAAACCATGGTTCAAACCCCTCGTATCTTTCCATCAACCCATGGGCCAATAATGGGATATTAGGACAGCCTTTGTACAGCCAGTACGGCAGTACCCCAACCTGAATCTTCTCGAGGATCCCCGACCTTGGTTGTGGCTTACCAGCACCGTGAATGGATTCCGTCATGGGTGTGGGTAAAACATGGTAAAACCAGAAGAAATTGTCCAAGCATCCCATAAAAGTCATCACCATGAATTTATTTAGGCACCTATAAATTGTTGACAACATTCCAACCTCATGGGTGGTAGACATGACATTGTTTTGCCCGCGGTAGAACAATGATTTTACCGAAGATGGTGATTTAACCAGTAAGAAGGAGGACTTTACCGACATGGTGCTTTGTATAATCAACATGTGGATTTACCGGCAAAAAAGCCGCATTGCATTCTTTTTACCAACAATGAAGAAACCGACAAAACCTATAAAAACATGTGGTGGCTCCAAAATGTGTCCTTCATGCAGAACAGTGGGATTTCCGAGGAATCCCAACCACCGAAAGATCCTTGACATAAGTAACTTCATCTTCTTCTTCTTCTTCATCATCATCAATGGAAAGAATAACAATATTAATAATAATAGTAATAATAATGGTAATAATTTATTAATACATAATGATGTATAATAATGTATGTCAATAATTGTCATCGTCATAAACAATTCCAAATGTGACGATCTTCATCGTCGCCCCTTCGAGCACGCCACTGTTCTGGATACCATGCCTTTCCACAGCTGGGTGATGAATGAGTCACAGGGAAATCGCCAGTGTTACTGGGATGAAACAAACCAAACACATGGGATACATAATGATACATATTGGCATTATATTATTTACATATAATATATATTTATATTGATTTATAGTAATATGGGATACATCTTCCGGCATTCATTTGATATACCCTCTGGTAAACGTTTACATAACTATGGAAAATCACCACTTTTAGTGGGTAAATCCACTATAAATGGACCATTTTCAATAGCAAACTGTTAAATTACCAGAGGGTACTTGATTGAACCAGCAGCTCAACTGGGCCAGGAATTGAAACGTTGCGTTTTGATGACCCACCTTCAAGGCGTCACTGCAGGATGGATTCCTGGGATCGAAACCCGGTCCCAAAATCCAAGATCGAAAGTCGTGGTGGAAGGCGTTTCGGCGAAAATGGGAAAATAAGTTTTACTAACATGAAACATATGGAATATTGGAATATTGAGATAGGATGAAACATATGGAATCTTGGAATATTGGAATATTGAGATAGGATGAAACATATGGAATCTTGGAATATTGGAATATTGAGATAGGATGAAACATATGGAATATTGGAATATTGAGATAGGATGAACAATATATGGAATCTTATGGAATCTTGGAATATTACTAAAATGATGCTGAATCATGGAATATTGGGATTGAGATGATATATTGTACTGCTTCAAAGTCTATAGGGAAAGTGGCTACCCTCTGGTCATTTGTTACATATTGAAGCCATGGCACCGAACGAGTTCGTTGATCGCGCCTAAAGTTGGTGATTTTCAGTTCGCGAAGTGTAAACGTTTACCATACCCTATTAGCCTATGCTTATGGAAAAATTGTGATTTTCCCTTTAAAAAATTTGGGGATTTACCGGAGGGTTTTATTATCTCCAGATATGTTTTTCGATACTCCAGATCGCTCTTAAATGTGGCATCATCTATGTGGCTGGAAAATCATCTGCAATTGATGAGGCTTTCACATGGAAAATCATCTATGAATATCTATGAATTATAGATTTTCAATTGCCACATTTGACTGAGGGTATAGAACATGTAACATGAAATATATGAAATGTACATGAAGGATACAGGATGGGGCCCTCCAGTTATAAGTTGGTTTGTAAACCATTGCAACCAACATTCTACCATAAACCACAGTTAAGCCACTTATAGGGGGCCCCCATCCTGAGGTTTCCACTGCTATATTCGATTGCCAAAGGGCTACGTTCAAGATGAACATCCTCAACGAGGATAAACCATGTGCCTATGCTTGTTGTGCCCGAGATTTCTTCAAGTTCTACGGAACATCATATTTCTTCAAAACTACCAAGCAACCAACACACACAAAAAAACACAAAAACACACATACACACACACACGCACTTCTAGCCGGCCCACATTTACGCATCCAAATTTGGATCGATGATTCAAGCTATAATCAATTGTTGTTGGTTATTTTACCGCCATCCTCGTTTTTTGCATCATGTAGTCGGAAAAAAAAACAACATGTTATATCTTCTCGGATATATCTTCTGGCATTTTAGAGTCGTTTCAATTGCAACCCCGGATGGGCAAATCAAAACCGGTCACCTAACTCATTAAATCAGATGGAACCCGAGAAAAGCCCCTCAGGGCGCACACAGATCAAATGTTCAACATTCTCGAACCATACAAATTGATGAGGGAACCAAACAAAACAACACCAAGTCGTTACTCAACATACTTTGTTTAACTTGTTCCAACACTTTCCAACTGTTCATCCAATTTCAAGGGGCGAAATTGCCCTGAAACTGGGCCGCCCCGACGCCATTTGAGCTTCCAAGACCTTGTACCAGCCTTCATCGCGCACACACCTCGAGCCGTTTGACTTTAAGCACTTTAAGCATTAAAGATTGGAGTTGCACCATCAACAATTTTGGCTTGAGACAGGAAGATAGTTCCAAAATGGGTATTTATGTAGCCAATATATGCCAATATCATGATGATGACATACCCCATCTAATACCCCTATTGTTTCCCGCAAAATGAACTCATCCGATACTAAACCAGGGTTTCCCTTCGGGGGTATTTAGTAATCGGGGGATGGGATGTGTCCCATCTCTTTACAGGTTACAGGAAAATCGTCTACAGATAATTTTATTTCGGATAGTCATGGTTATTATCTACACAAGACCTGTCTTAACAAAATAATCCTCAAAAATCATCAGAGTTTCGGTTCAACCGCAACTTTCACCCAATTCTGGGACGACCTGGTGCGTTGCTCCCTTCACCTGAAAAGATTCATTGCAAGATTCTGATCCACAAATGATAGGTTTACCCTCTGGTAAACATGCAAAAAACATCAAAAAACTATGGAAAATCACCATCTTTAATAGGTAAATCAACTATTTCTATGGGCAAGTTTCAAGAGCAAACTGTTAAATTACCAGAAGGTAAATGATTTTAAATGGAGGTAAATTTTCGTATCCTCAGGGGGTTCTGACTGCGTTTGTTCTACCAAAGGGCACGGGGTCACATGTTTCCTTCCGTGGTTGTGGCAACCGGATCACCATCGGCAGGATAATTGTGTCCAGATAGTCCCAAGAAGCTGGATCCAACATGGAATCTGAAAAGGGGATGATTCAGGGGTTGGTAAATGTCCCAATTTTAAATAAATATATATATATATATATCACATATATACAGTGTATATATATAATTCACATTTATATGTATATATATATATAAACATATCACCCAATGGTCACCCAACAGAAAAGGATGTTTTCCTCTCCAACAGATACTTCACCAAAAGTCATGTGAAACAAATCCCGAAAACATTACATTTACCCTCCGGTAATCCAACAGGGCATGCTGATTTGAATCACCGAACGCAATAGTTCGATGAGTGTCCCAGCTATTGATGTTCAGTTCATGAATTTTCCAGGCGCGTTTGGTTACCAGAGGCTACGAATCCCCGTGGGATTTTACGATCAACAAGCCCAACTCTTGGGTTCGGAATGTTTCGGATGTCGCTGACATCGAGCCGACGCACAATGATGCTGACATTGATGCTAAACATGACAATAGGTAATGATAGTTATCTTGTAACGTGTACCTATATATATATATATATAGTATTTAGAAGATATGTGATGCGCATGGCAAAGAATATCTAGACAGTATTGATGGCATACAGCAGATGATAATGTTGATACTATGCATAATACAAATTGCATGGATGACATAAGTGGCATATGTTGCACATATATTATAGATGATATAGTTTACATCAGTTGTACATCTAGATGCTTTAAAGAAAACTATACAAATACTTGATAAGCACACCAAAATCTACAATCCATGTATAATATATATATATATGTGTATGTAAATAAACATATTTACATCTATAATGCAATCATATGCATAGATATGTATATAATCCATATAATCCCATATGTGTGGTGTATGTGCCCACGGATCCCAAAATCGTTTTCTGTGGGTCCTCCATGGGTCCATCGTTGCCGGTGACCAAGCTGCCAAATGGGATTCAGAGGCATGGCATAGTTTTCCTCGACCTCAGCCGGTGTTTTGCTGTGGCACCATGTGGCACCCGCAGATTCGGTCCCATTCAAGGTATATGTTAATCGGAGTTTTGCTGGGATTTCATGTATTAAAACAAAAACATATGGGATTCAGCAGATGTTTACTGTAATGGGAATTCAATGGGATTTCATGAGATCATGGGATTTAGCAGATGTTTTTCATGGGAATTCGTGCTCTAAACCATCTATTGACACATCAACTTTCATAATGACAACAAGAGGATAGCAGTTTGATAGTAATAGTAATGGTCACCACTGCAACACCAATAATAATAACTGTAGATGTTAATATATATATATATACAGTAGTATAATAAATGATGATAATCATTGAAAAGAAGGACACATGTGGTACTCATATAGCATCACTATAACACTTAGGAAACAGAACGCTACCAATCTATTGGCAATTTTTGTGCCAAAGCAACATGTACAAACTAGCAGTTGGGCCATTCAAAATACCCATCTCATGAAAAACAGTACTGGCTGGTTGGAAAACAGACCCCACTATGGTTGTTCAATAAATTAAGTAGTATATCAATGGCCATTTCAGGATCCTAGATTGGAGGTACCTACAATATAAGGCCTATGTAAGGGAATATCCCCATTGAGTATAGCTCCCTTTATTAAGCAATCAACCAGCGTACAACTTTCATGGCTCCATTGATCATCAACACCCACAGCCACAGCCACATGCATCTCCAAGCCACGCGTTTCTCCAGGAATTCCCTGAGCTCTCCCTGTGTAGCAGGGAAGTGCTGAGGGGGAATGGGCCTGGACCCCATGGGGGTACGGGATGAAATGGGTGGGATTTCATTGGATTTAATAGGACTATAATGGGATTTAACGGGGGTTTAATATATTTAATGGATAATATGGGATATCATTGGAATATAATCGGAATTTGATGGAATTGAATGGGAAACCAATGGAATGGTTTCCCAAAACCAGCCAGAACTGAGCCAACAATGACGGGTGCGTTAACACACTTCATCACTGAATTTTCTGACTATATATATATATATACATATTGTTAGCTACGGCCTATAAGCCTCTGTTAGTCTGGCCCCTCAAAACGAAGGCAACAAGGCACCGGCAATGAGTCGACGACCGGGCAACAAAATGACGACAGCAATGCATCGGCAACGACATGTTGCATATGTCAAACAATCTGGCTATGGCATTGGGAATGCCATCCGCCCAAGTGTCTGTTCTGAAAACTGCCGGAAATGGTTCATCATGGTGTACCGGGAAAAGAGAGAACCATTTACCACTCAATCGGGACGTTTTTTTTTTGGTGGTCCCCAGGGTTTTGAATCTTGACCTACATACAGCAGGAGTATAAGAATGGTTGACCTTAGCCAAAAAAAAACAAGGTGAGCGCGTGTCAAAACCTAGGTGCCTTCATGATCCCTTGTGAATCTTTTGAACCTGATATTGTGACACTATAGAGTGATGTTGCTTGATGTGTTTATCATTCTTGGTAAGTCCCCACAAAAAGGCTTCATCCCACTTATGCGGATTAGATAACTACCATCTGGTTATGACTAACATAGCCATGGTATAGATGGCCCATAAAAATAGATGGTTTACCTATTAAAAATGGTGATTTTCCATGGCAAACTGTTAGTCATAACCAGATGGTAGATTCCCAAGATTTACCAACACGTTTCAGCTTCAGAAGTTGACCCAATCATGTCAGTGCCATTTAGTGACCTTCCAAAAAGGCTAGCTGGCTCGCCTCATCCATGTAGGCCCAAGGCCTCAGGACATAGCTGAAATGATATGACTCGGCTATGGCGATCATTTCGGGCCAGGTTTTGTGGGGATCATTCCCCCTATACCCCCTATATTTTACCATGAAAAGTGACGTGCTGAATATCTGAATGTGACGTGGGGGCGAAACGCAACACCAGTGGCCGTTTTTTTTCTCGAATACATGCATATGCAAACCACAAATCATGCCCTGCGGCGATTGTCGGTTGGAGTCTTATCTCGATGTTCGATCATGTCTGTCAACCGTACGATACCCTCTGGTAAACTAACACAACAATGGAAAATCACCATTTCTAATGGGTAAATCCACTATAAATGGCCATTTTCAATAGCTTTTTGTATGTTTACCAGAGGGTATCTGGACAAGTTATAGTGATTCACCAAAGTGAAGAGTTCCTCCGGAAATGGGGATGATTTCCCCATTTCAACCATCATTCCAGTGACGTCCCGACGTGAGGTCGTTAAGCATTGATCCAGAATATTGATGGTTGGTTGAAATCACTACCAAATCCCTATTAATCACTAATAATCATTATATATCATTATTAATCCATATCATCCCTAGTAACCTCGCATTTGCTTGTTGATGCTCGAGTTTCACAAACACCCCCAGTGACTGTGGCACGACCTGACTGACCTGGATGTTTGGTGCACCTGGATTTTCGAAGCTTCCAAGACTTCCTCCATGAAGAAATGGGTCAAAAATGAACCCAACGTTGAACTCAACGTTGAAATCAAACGTGAAGCCCATTTTATGCCCAGGCAGTCTCAATGGTTGATAGCCACTGGCCACTGGTCTATAATGACTATAATGGTTGATAGTCTAAATCTAAATGGTTACACCTGTTATAATTGGTTATACTATAATGTTTGATAGTCTAAATGGCCGGATGTTTCACCATCATTTCACCATCTTCGCATCGTCAAGTTCGGAAGTCTCGCATAGTTTCGCCAGTCCCCTCACCCTTCACCATCCATCACAGGCAGGAACCCTAGGGCCACGGCTTATCATCGTAGCCTTCGCAGAATCCTTCCCAGACCTCAGCAAATGTCACTGGAAGTTGCTTGGTGTGTCGAAGCAGTGAGTGCCAAAAATGAACATAGAAAAAACACAATTCCATACAAGTCCCGAATCAGAAATAAGTAAGCAATTTTTGGGATTCTTCCTGTACTAAGCTTCGTTTATGGTTGGGTCAGCCAGTACAGGTCGGCTAGTGAGTGAAACGACTTGGAACCTCCAGACCTCTAGAAGATTCCCACGACGATTGTCATGAAAAATGTGAAGAAACGATATGTCAATGAGTATATGTACACACACACATGATGTATGTGGCTAGATTATGCTAGATTTATGTCACCACTGTAGCAATGACAAAAGGAGTGATTGAAGAGGACTCATGAGCACATCATCCATTGAGGTACTCCAGCAATGAAATTTCACAGCTGAAAAGAACATGGCTGAAATATTGGACCATGTTCTTCGTATAGGGTGAGCATGCCAAAAACCATGGCCGGCATGTTCATTCAACCAACTCCGCCTGTGCATTCAATTGTCTGTCTAAAAATTCCAGCATGTTTTAATATATATATATATATGTGTGTGTGTGTGACATATATACATATATACTATGTATATATGATACATATATATATATATACATACACATACATACATACACCATATATATATATATATATATGTACATATCATATATATATGTACATATCATATATATATGTAATAGTCATCCTGAGTCACCCTGAAGTATAGATAGAATATCACATTTGTCCAATCATCTTCTCATTTGTGACTTGGGCGGCGGCCACCAGGAAGTTGTCGTCCAGTTCCTGGAGCTTGGTGATATTTAACCAATACCCCCCACAAAGTTCGTGAATAATCATGGTTAGTAGTGGTTTAATAATGGTAAAACATGGTTAAGAATGATTAATAGAAGTAAAGAATGGTTAAGAATGATTAATAATGGTTAAGAATGGCTTGGAATGGGTAATAGTGGCAAAGAATGGGCTGTTTCTAGTGGTTAAGAATGACTCACAATGGTCCATACAGTAGTCGTTAAGAATGGTTGATGGCAAGCCGTTGGAAAATCCACGCGCTAAATTAAGGTTTATAGCCGCGAAAATCATCGACCTATGATATGTTGAATCCTGGAATCTGATAAATATCATATATACCACCATAGGGGGAGCGTGATTTTGTTGAGGCAAAGCAAACGGTGAATGGTTGGTTTGGGGTTTTTACAGAAGCCATGTTGATGGAGAAATATTCTGATGATTTTCTGATGGAATTAATCATGATATTAATAATATCTTGTTGCTTGTAATCTTATATTCAAAAATTACCAAATGGTAAATCCATCTATCGAATTATAGCTTATGTATATATATATATATGTTACCCATACATATCCCATATATATACAGGTTACCCATACATATCCCATTAAAGATTATCCTATATACATACACATATATAATTATATATATATACAATTATATACATATATCATCATATATCTATAGCTTATACAAGCCACATCCCCTTGTTTCCAGGGCCCAACTGACCCAACCGACCCGACGCCGCCTGCGGGAAGTAGAAATTGAAGCACTCCGCACCATGCCGCACCGCACCCGACTCGCAGGTGGCGTCCACGATGCCCTGCGACAAAAGAAACGTGTTTTCTGAGAGGAAAAATATGTGCCACAAATGATAGGTTTTTACCTCACAAACAACAAATGTAAAAAAAAAATACTGTTTTAATCTCTTTTAAAGGTTGCTACTCCATCAATTTTAGTTTTACCTCGCCAAAATGAGGTTTTGAGATATGGGTAGACCATGGTAGACCATCTCCGGAAAGGCGGTCCCAGTTTCTTTCTTCGGAGTTCTCCTCCAGGCAACCTGCTAACAATCTTTGAAGAATAAGTCGAAACTGTATCATGTTAATTGTTCCATATTGTTCCTGTACATATGGGATTTGTTTTATGTTTTTTTTCCATAAATGGGGGTACCCCCCATTTCTGGATGGTTTAGAATGGAAAATGCCCATAAAAACGGATGATATTTGGGGCTACCGAAGTACTGGTCCCACCAACCAACCAGCGCCTCAATGAGACGATAGGAGGTGGCATCCTTAGAGCGGTCAAACAACCCGACAACCGAAAGGAGAGCTGCTGGGAAAGCGAAGCATAGGGGAAACTCTAAAAACGACATCAACAAGAGTACCTTATGAAAAACATGTCTCTCTCTCATAAATATGGGTTATCTATATGTTCATAAATTTATCTTATATGTGCATGATTGTTACAACTGTTAGTTTGATGATGTTTGATGTATATATTTATATCATTTTATATCCACCAGTTCTACTGTCCATACGGAGACGTTTAGGCATAGATCTACCCGGAAACAATCGGAACAAATCACCAGACCGTTGGAACCGCAAAAAACGTGGCTCACCGTATCGATACCTCTGCAACCCTTCCGGCTCGTTCACCGTGATCTTGTGGGATACCCTCTGGTAAACATACAAAAAGCTATGGAAAATGACCATTTATAGTGGATTTTCCCATTGAAAATGGTGATTTTCCATAGCTATGTTAATTTACCAGAGGGTACCCGCCCGAAAATCAAACTTGACAATCAGATCACGTATTTATAATGTGTTTATATGATTTACCTGGGCATGTTTGAACGATTTTCCATGATTTTCCCGTGCAAAGCCCACTTGACTGGTTAGTGGTTTCAATCCCATATCTGGTGGTCAAATCTGCAATTCCAATCTTCATATATTCTTCAAATCCCATGTGCTCCTTTATATCCATATATATATATATATCAATATATATATATATCTGGTTGGTGGTTCCAACCCCTCTGAAAAATATTAGTCAATGGGAAGGATTATTCCATATATGAAATGGAAAATCAAATTCATGTTCCAAACCACCAACCAGATATGTAATTATGATTAATCATGTATGTTTACTCCATATATAAATATATGTTATACTATAGTCTACTATGGATATCTATATATCTTTTAAAGATTTTTATCTTGGATCCGTCTACTTGCCACGAAATAAAACAAAAACTCCATGGGGATCTTTCAAAACCGCTGGGATCAGCGACTCCAAAGCCATACTCCGGGATCTTGGGATGAAAGCCTGGAACGGCAGAAGCCATGGACTTAATTTGAAGCCAGAGAGAGAGAGAGAGAGGTATATATTATATATGCATAATAATAGTATAATGTAACTATGTACTATGTATAATAATTAATAACAGTCATAATCATAATAATAATTAATCATAATAATTGTCATGTATAATAATAATATAATAATAATGTATGTAATACAATATGTCCATGAAAAATAGTAAAAGAACGTAACAAGAGATGTATAGACTTGCGTTTTTCTTGCCAAAATGTCTGGGCTGATCATTTTACCATCAAATCCATGAAACATATATATATATATATATGTGGCCAGATTATTTACGCGAAACATGTGAGTTTCAGGTTTCATCTGCAAAACATATTAAGTTCGATTCTAAGCAAAAACTAAACTATATGCCAATGCTAGGCGATCTTCGATACTTTGCGGTGTATGCATTCAGAGGGTTGATTTTCAACAAATTGATTTTCAATGGTTTCCGGTTTCAAATTTGGGATTTTTTTTTCAATGGTTGATTTTCCGGTTTCAATGTGATGCATTCAGAGGGTTGATTTTCAATGGTTTCAGCAAATATTCTGTCAATCAAATTTGGGAATCACCCACTCAGCACCCAAGGCCGCCATTAAGCTGTTTACAAACTCAAGGTTTTGGTACATCCAAAAAAAAAATGGAATCATTGGAAAATTGGATTCGTCACTCACCTGGAATAATTCTACCCTCTGGTAAACATACAAAAAACTATGGAAAATCACAATTTTTAATGGGAAAACTCACTATAAATGACCATTTTCAATAGCTATGTTAAATTACCAGAGGGTATATGTCGAAAAGAAAACGCGTGGATTCATCTGGCTCACCATCCGCTGACTGTTACAGGTGGGCCCATGTTCAAGCCCAATTTACCACCGGGGATTTCTGAAACGCGTCCCAAATAATAAGCTTAAATGAAGCTCTATTGCGGATGATTTATTTTTACCACCTTAGTTTCACTAGTCGTTTCAGATGTTCACAAAGAAAATCCAGATGATGGGTCTGGAAATGGGGTATATCCCAAAAGTGCTATCAAAAAACACAGGGGAAATATGGGAACATGATTTTTGAACCATGGGATTTTGCGTCTTAGGCATAATGTGGGCAAAACAATTTCATATGTTTTAAATAGGTGGTATGTTTCCCATTCCCAGTCATGGGTGGTTTGTGACATTGTTTTACCCACATTAATCACTATTAAAAAAACCATCAATCACTATTAATCACTATTGGTAATTGATGGTAATAATCGGGATTACTAATGAATGGCACTATTGATCATTATTGATCACCATTGTGGGTAAAACAATCATAAGCCATCCCCAATTTCATCATAGGTGGTATAAACCGTTCCCAAATGGGTGGTTTATTATTGTTTCAATCACCATTAATCACTATTCACTATTAATCACCATTTATCACTATTAATGTCAACCTTGGATTGATAAACCCCTAGATTGTTTAATTGGGGGGGTACCACTTAAGTATTGGATTATGACTATTGGAGGGGTACCCCCCCTAGTTAATAAACCATGGTTTATTAATCCGGGTTTACATTAATCACTACCCCCATTGGATCCAACGACTGCCAATGTGCCCGCCTTCATCGTGCGCTTCTTTCAAGACTTCCAGCCATCGCCTCGACGCGTGCCGCGCAATTTCCGCGTCAAGCTACGCAAGTGTGAATAAAACACGCATATAATATATATGCATATACTTATACATATATATATATGTATATACATATATCTATATATATATGTATATATTATGTGTATATAAAAACATATGTATATATATATATATATGTATGTATGTATGTATGTATGTATGTATGTATGTATGTATGTATGTATGTATGTATGTATGTATGTATGTATGTATGTATGTGTATGTATGTATGTATGTATGTATGTATGTATGTATGTATGTATGTATGTATGTATGTATGTATGTATGTATGTATGTATGTATGTGCGTGTGTATGTGTATATTTATCATATACACATAAGCTCACATGTATGTGATTGTGTGCGTTTGTATATGTATATATATTATATATATATCTATATGTGTAAAGAAATTTGTGTGTGCACTCGTGTTTATACGTTCTGAATCTGGCAGGTTGCGCAGCTTGCTGGTGACATGAAACGGATCACCGAACTTCAAAGGGGCTCATCTTTGACGACGCTTGATATGACTTGATGACATCAGTGAAAATCCCATAGTTTCCAGGCATCAAAAACATCTCCATGGTCAACAAAAATAACAATTATGTCCAAAAGTCATGATAAATAGCTCCCTTTTCATGTCATGACTAAAAATGATAAATATCATCATTAATGTCAACCCTGGACTCATAAACCCCAAACGGCTGTTTAATTGGGAGGGTACCATTTAAGTATCAGATAATGACTATTGGAGGAGTACCCCCCCTAATTAATTTAATAAACCATGGTTTCGTCTCAGCCGGGGTTGACATTATATAAATCATTATATAAATCCATATCAATCCATATAAATAAATATAAATCCATATAAATCCATATCATCATTATATAAATCCATATAAATCCATATGAATCATTATATAAATCCATATAAATCCATATAAATCATTATATAAATCCATATAAATCCATATAAATCATTATATAAATCCATATAAATCCATATAAATCCTTATATAAATCCATATAAATCCATGTAAGTCATTATATAAATCCATATAAATCCATATAAATCATTATATAAATCCATATAAATCCATATAAATCATTATATAAATCCATATAAATCCATATCATCATTATATAAATCCATATAAATCCATTTAAATCATTATATAAATCCATATAGATCCATATAAATCATTATATAAATCCATAAAAATCCATATAAATCATTATATAAATCCATATAAATCCATTTAAATCATTATATAAATCCATATAAATCCATATAAATCATTATATAAATCCATAAAAATCCCACATCACTGCACCATTTTCTCCCTACGTTTTCACCGCTTCGGAACGCCAAGAAACGAGGTCCAACTGGAGGCCAGGGGCTTGCGGAGCAGCTGCTCTGTGTGCCGTAGGGCCTCGATTTCTGGATATATGCGGCTAGCAATGGATGGGAATTTTGTATATAATATATATATATATATCAGATATCTCTCTCTCTGTGTTTATGTAAATATATATATGTGTGTGTGCGCGCATAAAAATATAAAGTAAGTATATATGTATATATATATATATAATCATATTTGTCATGCAAATTTTGTTTATAATGGTCCCATGAATACATAAATCCAATCCCAATTCAAATACATTGGATAATTGCTCGCATATGTCTTGTGCGCGTTTTAAATAGATAATAATTTAATTGGGAGTATTCGTACTCAACACCTACAGTATGTATTGATGTAATTTGTGTACAAATATTAGCTACTGCAAATAGATATATGAAGATGAATATAACTGAATATACATCATGAATCTTGTAGTATTATTGGTATATATTGGTATGCATCCTATGTTTGAATTGTTGGAACCGTTAAAATCAACCTGTCAATGACCCAAAGTCACCCATGAGGTAGATGTAAGAAACAATGTGAAACAGTATCCACTAGTGCAAGTACGAATACATGCAGATGTATGTTTTTTTAGTTTCAGATATGCATGTGCATATGTGCACATGTGCATATGTGCACATGTGCATATGTATGCAGTGACATACATGTTTGGACGATCAACCCTTCAGGTCACCCGGCCCACATGGCCAAATCCGCTTGGTCGGAAGTCAATCCTCAGCGGATCCACCATGATCAACGGATGGCGTTTCGGAAAATCTTCAGCGGAAACCATGGATTTTCCTTCGATTTTCCCAGGAAATATGATGATAGGGGGCTTATATGGCAGCAAATGTTCCCTTAAACCAATCCATTGATAGTAGGGAATGAGGGAACTATGACCATTAATGACTATTGATGTCTATCTATTCATAATATTCCCATTCTCCCAGTGCCCCATTGCCATCCATTCCCTGCTAAGCACCAGTACGAAAAACCTCATGTGTTGTAGAAGAAAATGCAGGGTCAAAAGTGGCAACTTTTCCTCATAGAGACGATGCTCTGGCAATGTGAATTGAACGACTGGATTTGCTACAGATGTTGCGTCCACTTTAAGGACATTGGAATGGTTTTTAGAGTCAAAGAAATCAGGGTCAAGTGATTTGTGAGTGCGGCCGGCAGGGCTTCCACACATCACACGCTCCGCTCATTTGATTATTGACTGAGGCATAGGGTCAGTGTCCAGTTTCCAATAGCTTCCATCTATTTGAACACAACGAATAGAGTTGAATAGAACGTTTTCGAAAAAAGAACTATTTCCATCTAGTTGAATATGATATAAGTAGGTTCCAATAGTTTCCTGTGACAATGTTCTTCCAGTCAATGGGACCACAACAAGCCTCCCCCTGGGCCTGAATGATCCCCCGCCGGAATGTTTTGAGGTCAGCCTCCATTCCCAGTCGTGGCTGTGCCAAACATACCCAACTAGCAGAGACCCTGCCGTGATTTGCGGGTCGCAAGAGGCAAAATGGATATTTCAGTGGAAAAAACTCTGCCAGCGGCTGCTCTAATTCATAGAGAAATCCGGTTTGAATGGTCATGTTTCAAATCCCAATCTGCCCTCTGGTAATTTAACATAGCTATGGAAAATCACCATTTTTAGTGGGAAAATCCACTATAAATCGCCATTTTCAATGGTAAACTGTTAAATTACCAGAGGGTAAGCCAAATAAACCAGCTATATCCAGATATGCCCATCATATTTCCATTTCATCGTCCCATTGGTAAAGTTGACCCGCTTGACCCGGACAACGCCAGGCATCTGCTGTATGCCATGCCGCGGCTTCCCACCTGGCCAGTGCATAAACATAAACAAAACTTAAGAACGGTAAATGACAACATACGGTGGATGGAAGAAACCCTGCACCAACTTGGATGGTTGAAACCCTATACATAATGGGACAAACCTATCAACTGGTGCAGGATTTCTTCCATCCACAGTGTATATATATATATATATATAACAACAGTGGAATATCAAAATACATCAATGGTCATTTCAAGAATAAAAACTGGATGTATCTGCCCAAAAATCAAACTTCTAGCTGCTTAGGACCAATTTTATCATTGATAGCAAAAGATTAAAGTACTAACCAAGGTAGACCCAAATAACAGTATGAAATATGACAGTACATGAGACAGTACTTTATGGTTATTTTTAAGTTATCTTAATTTGGCTGCTGAACTTCTATGAAATTGCTTCATCAAGGTGTATACTAATCCTGCTATATAGTCAAATATAATCAGATTCTAAGATGATACGAACCAACTAAATCAACTAAGCTGGATGGAATAAACATGAATAAACGCATCAACTAAGCTGAGATCTTAAATGATCTAAAATGATCTAAGGTAATTCAAACAATCAATCCGAATCTCTAGGAATCCAAGGTCCACCGCTGTCACAGCACTGCTTGGCACTTCGCTGTGTTTACAACGCAGGGCGAGGCGGCTGTGAAGGTGTCGAAATCGCTCACCACCTGAGCAGGTCCAGTTCACGCGGGTAGCCGGAGCCGGAGCACTGTTCTGAACCCAAACAGAATGAGGTTCTTGAATATACCCTCTGGTAATTTAACGTAGCTATTCATAGAGAAATCCGGTTTAAATGGTCATGTTTCAAATCCCAATCTACCCTCAGAGCTCTGGTAAACTAACATAGCTATGGAAAATCACCATTTTTAGTGGGAAAATCCACTAAAAATGGTCATTTTCAATAGCAAACTGTTAAATTACAGGAGGGTATGTGCTTTCCCCAAAAAATTGGAACCCATGCTTTTGGGTTCACAATGGCCACTTATTCTTGTTGACAAAAGACATGCTTTGCCACAGTGCATCTGCAAATTCCATTTTTACGTTGCTTAAGATATCCATTTCTGCAGGTGAAGAGTGAAGAATACCTCCAGAGTTGATTGAGTTGATGTATAACTCATAACTGTAGCTTAACTGGGATATATGGGTGGATACATCTATCATGCACATGGTCACATGGTGTTACAAATCAAATTCTGACTGGGAGTCTCCTTCCAGCCCTAGGTGCCCAGCCGGTGCCCAGCCGGTTCCCTGGGTTCCCCAGCCGGTTTGACCGTCGTCTCGGCGTACGCAATGAGAAGCCCGTGAGGGTTCAGGGCATTGTCCTTGAAAAGGCGCGGGCGCCAGCGGCTGATCAATTCGCCGTTGGTTTCATAGGGATTCTATGGGGATAATATAATATAATGGGATAAAACATGATAAAGCCATCAAGAGGGATCTTAACTATCAAAAATGATCAAAAATGGAGGTTAATCCGTTAATCCCATTCCCCCTAATATTAACCCCCTAAATGGTCCCAAATAATATGTAAATCCCCTACTAAACTATGGTTTCTGGTGGTTTGTTTTTTTCACCGCAGGTGTTTAATATGAATGGGGGAAGGGATTAGCAAGGTTTTGCTGACGTTTTGTGGGAGAAATGAGTGGTCAAGTGGATTTCAACTTCACCATCTTTTGCCTAGTCTTACCGGAATTACTCTATTCTTCAATTTTCTTAAAACGGAAAACTAGACTTTTGGATGGCCAATAAGGCAAGTGGAATGCCAATTGCCACAATGTCAGAGAACAAGGCTTCTTCACCTGAATGACTCCTGCAATCTGTCATAGAAAAGCTTCAGCACAGAGTAGCACTTAGATCTCTTGGGGATGCCAACTTGCAGCCATCAGCATTCCCAGGGTTTGGGGTTCCAACAGAATCAGCGGGTGCTACGCAAAAATTTCATCCAGCAGACTCTATCCATGATCCCCATGGATGCTACTGGGCTTACCGGAAGATCCAACCGGTCCAATGCTCCGCTCCTGGTCGTATTGGAAGAGAACGACCTGGGGCTTCGAATCGCCACGCACGGCCTGCAAGTTCATGTCCATGAAGGCCTGGGCGGAGATCTTGAGAGCTAAGGAGTGTACAGCCCTGATTTCCGGAATTTTGTTTTTTTTTATTATTTATTTATTTATTTATTTATATACTATACAGATTTATACAGTACATCAATTTCCGCCGCAAGTGCTCATTTGGATTGCTCATTTTACTGCTTTTCCAATGTTATCCCTTCAAGTACCCCCCGCCTTGACGCCTAGGGCTACAAATGCTCCACCCCTCACAGCAGAACTTGGAACAAAATCAGCCTCTATGAAGCTACCATTTCTGCGCTTGTTCCCATGTTTGCCCCAGTTTCCCATGGTTTTCCACATATTTTTCCTCTTTTTCTTGACCATTTTGTCCACCACTTTGTGCTATTTAAGCCAAAAAAAAAAACCACTTAGATGTGCCTTGGAGTTAGTTAACTATGTTCACTAGCTAGTAAATGGATGTAAGAGGATTATAATTGGAGAGAGGGAGAGAGAGAGAGAGAGATATATATATAATGTAGTATATATATATATTATTCTATAATTGGGATAGTTCGTGATTTATAACATTTTCTAACCCAGTTCCTACCCAGGGCCCTGAAATCCATGCACGTCTCCCCCGGGCCAGCGTCCCGGGCCGCTGAACTGATACGCCCCGTCTCCCAGCCCACCGCCGGCTGAATGTCCGGCCTGTGGTGCAAAACTCATCGATGATACATCCAATAGATATGGAGGTTTCCTAAAAATGGGGGTATCCCTGGAATCTCCAGTTCTCATCCATGTATAGCTGGGATGTTATATATGATACATCCCATATGCGAACTATGGTGCTGGAATATGCGCACCAACATTTGCCCGAACAAAACGACCCAGTTTTGTAGGTAAACATACCATCCATACATGGAGCATATGGGCATGATATCTATGTTTATGATGTTAAAAATGATGTTTATGATAGTTTATGATTTTGGTATTTTATGATGTTAAGAATGAAATTATGATGTTTGTGATAGTTTATGATGATAACCAGGATTTAAAGTTGAAACCCTGCTATGATTATGATGTCTATGATGATTATTAAAAAAATGAAAATTATAAATTGAAGAAAACCAAAATCAATTGAATGAAACAAATGATTCAACGAAGCACGCCTGTTTTTTTCCAAACAAGATTTGTGACATTTAGGGAATGCGAATGGATGACATGGATCTTCATCAACTGGGATCTGCACCAAGAGACTCATGTCAAATCACTGCGACATAAGCAGGTTGCTGGGATAATCGTTTGCCAGGTGACCTCCATAATTTATGGTACCCTATGGATATTCAACAGTTTGCGAACTGGAACATGGCCAACTGTGGGTGAGGTCGCTACGCATCATAATGTGGGAAACCCTGGCCGCCATAAACCTACCATAACTGGGGATGGTTCAGAGAAACCATAAACATCCTAAACATGATTTGGGGGATGGTTTATGGCATTGGGTTTGCCACATTAGTTTGAAAAACACTGCTGGCATGATGTACTCGCAAAACCAATCAAAACCAAACTTGACTTTTGGACCTGGAGGAGGCGCTTGGAGTACATGCACGGCTTGGACGCGGATAGCATATCTATGGACACTCCGAGTCGCGACCCCTCTTTTGGGCAAAACCTCTGGTACACCTGGTACACCAACTAGACCAAACTAGGCTGATTTTGAAGAAATCACATGGGGTTTCATTGACATGGACATGAAAGGATCCAGATATCAAACCATAGGATAATCGGCTCATCGGACAATCCCTATGGACGAGCCTGAAAACAGCAATCATATGATACTAGTGATGCCAGCACAGGATTGGGTCAACATAAATTCAATACATTCAAATTGCCATATTTGCAGGGATGAACATCCATAAATCAACATAAATCCCAGATCTTGAGTTTCCAAGGCAATTCAATTTGGGTTTTTGACCCTTTTTCCATCCCAGTGGCTTGTCGATGAAGGCAAAGCGGAGCAAGGGTTCAGGCCTTGAGCAGGCTTGTTCACCACGGAATTCCCTTGTTTATTTTCCATGGGGATGCATCATCAACAGATTGGGACTGGACCTAGAAGGATTTTTCATATGACTGGACCCAGAAGAATTTTTCATAACATGACTGGACTGTCCCGTGATGTGACCCGGTTTGACGTTGCAGTTTCAAAAAAGTCAGCTTTTCAAATGATGGGGACTTCACATGAGGCGACTCAAAAAAACGGCCAGGTCTGTATCATTCAATTTCAGGGGGAAATCCAGGGGAAGCGTGTCAACCCACCACATATTAGAGGTTTCCGATGGTTTCCGGTACATTGTCCCTTCAACCAATGGGGAAAAACGTCTTGGTGCTGATGATTCTGCTGGGGATTATGGGATTCTTCACCCAAGGTTTTGCAAAAAGAACCTGGCTATGGCGACTTGGGCACCCCATAAATTGGAAGTATACCCTTTGACCAACAGGTGCGGCCAGTTGTTTTTTCTCTTCACGCGGTTAAATATGGTTAAATCATGAAATCCTAAGATGTGCTGTTTCCCCGTGTATATCTTGGCTCAATCCCAACATAAAATATGGATTAAGTCAAATAAACATATATCCCATAGGATCCATGTATGCTGTATATGGTAACATGGATCCCATCAATATACCCCAGTCATGTTTGCATATATACCAGCACCATGGATTCTATGGGTATTAGTGGGATTTGGGACTGAGCCAACCTAACAATCATGCCTTAAATCCCATTGGTTGACTAAGTCCCAAATATTGGTCGCTCGCAGTGGGCCCCTTCTCCATCTTTTCCCTGACCTCCAAATACTATAAACCAGTTGCGCAAACCGCATAGATAACTATACATAAATATATCATAAACATCATAAACCATATAAACCCTTAATATAAACCAGTTAATTATATGGGTTATCATATAGATATATACCATAATTCCACTAGTTAACCTACCTAAAAGCCAACAAAAAAAAGCCAGGCGCATCGCGCCTGAACCATTGAATAAAGAAAGTTCCATCCAGGGGATCTCAGCTGCCGACACATTGAGCCCCGGCGTGTCTGGGTAGCTGTCCAGGAAAATGATGCGAGGGTCCTGGGCATCGTGGTTTTTCAGCTGCTTACCCCAGGGTAATCTGGGCGAAATGCTAAGTTGATATATATATATATATATCTGGTTGGTGGTGCAAGAACCATCTTGAAAAATATGAAAGTCAATTGGAAGGATGACATCTCATATATGAAATGGAAAATAATCCAGTCATGTTTGAAACCACCAACCAGATATATATGATATATATATATATCAATGGGTGTACTAAGTGGAGAATTCTTCCATATCTACACATATTATGAATATATGTATCAATAGATAATACCGCGACTTTTTCCGTTCCGGGATCTAATCTCAGCTGGGTGATTAGTGTGAATGGAGTGAACGATTCGTGTCCTCACCATGATAATGGTCTTGAAATGGTCTCTTCAGGATATGCTTGGATTCCTATCAGATACCATTTATCTGGATAAATTACTGTATCATATTTCACTAACCTGAATAGTTCGGCCATAAAAGGGGATGCTTTCCCTATACATTCACCATGATTCCAGGCTTCGGTCGCAGGCTTCGGTCGCAACATCATTTACCCAGATTTATGGTCTCGCTATCTTCGAACAAAGAAACCAACAGGAAATGCAAAAAAACATCACCCTGGATGGGGACATGGCCCATCCCTCACCAAAGCCATCTTTCGGAGATTTTCGGAGATTTCCTCCGAATTTACCCTCTGGTTATGACTAACATAGCCATGGTATAGATGGCCCATAAAAATAGAATGGTTTACCTATTAAAAATGGTGGATCTTTCCATGGCGAACTGTTAGTCATAACCAGATGGTATAGTTGATTTTCCCAGCGATGAGGGGATAACACTGGAGGCGAGCCATTTCCCATGAAAATTTAAAGATAAGCCACGAACATCCACGTTCACGTACCTTTTTCCAAGCAAAAAATCCTTGGAAAACCTGGGTAAATCTGAAAATAGGGTGCGCAAAAAATCCAAGATCCACTATGATCCACTATCCTATTCCCATCTATTCCCCATGGAGGTGTGCCCTATCCATAATATCATCTAATATCCCTATTCTCTGCCCATAAAGTGCTGGGTTTTCTACCAATTTTCTACCAATAAACCATCCATTTTCCACCTGGAGATACCTGGAGCCCCCACCTCAATCTCCAAATCTTCCGATTCCATGAGGCTTTGCAAATGCCCTGCCGCCTACACATCGCGCAGAACTGGAGCATTTTGTGGGTTTTTTCAGTAGGCCCTCCGGTGAAACGTGGCGGAAAATATCCGATTGGAATATCCACACATGGAGGTTTAAATGGAAAATCAGCCACTCTATACATGGATGATTTTCAATTGCCACGTTTGAAAAGGAGGCTAAGCTCCCAAAAAAGATTGATGAAAAATGGGCACTGACTAGGGATAGCAAAAGCGACATGTATAACGGGTATATAACCAACTAACATTTGGCATGAAACCAACCATTTTGAGGGGATATCACCGGGTGAATGGAAATCAAAGTTACGTATTTTTGGTTGCAGTTGTGACTCAGCATAACCATATATAACCATGGTATAGTAACTATACCCCAATAAATTGGGTTACCATCTGGTTATGACTAACAGTTCGCCATGGAAAGATCCACCATTTTTAAGAACGGTCAACCATCTATTTTTATGGGCCATCTATACCATGGCTATGTTAGTCATAACCAGAGGGTATAACCTCTTTGATAATGAGCATACACTGTGTAGAAAACATGGACTTCCCCTGGTTCCCCATGGGCGACACCTTGATGGAGGTGTCTCTGAGAAACGCACTGCTTGAATCCCCAGCTGGAGGCCCCGGTCTCCACCCGTCGTGTGGCAAAAATGACGACGAACCTTCCCCAATATCAGCTTGGATCACATCAGTATTCAATGGGTGTACTAAGTGGAGAATTCTTCCATATCTACACATATTTTGAATATACGTATCAACGGATAATACCGCTACTTTTTCCGTTCCCGGATCTAATCTCATCTGGGTGATTAGTGTGAATGGAGTGAACGATTCATGTCCTCACCATGATATTGGTCTTGAAATGATCTCTTCAGGATATGAGTGGCTTCCTATCAGATACCATTTATCTGGATAAATTACTGTATAATATTTCACTAACCTGAATTAAGGCCATTTGGGGATGATTTCGCTTACTAACCATGATTCCAGTGAGGTCGCAGTGAGGTCGTTATAATTTACCCAGATATATGTTTCATAACATCAGTATTGAGAGAAAGCCATGTCCCATTTTGATAAAAATCTGGCTAGAAGATCATATTGTCACTGAAATTCAGCTTAAACAGGGGATCCCCGAATTTCCCGAATCCAATTCTATCCTATTTAAGATTCCAGGCTTTGGTCGAAGGCTTCGGTCACTATACCTACAGGGTGGTGCCCCATAGTTAGCTAAGTTGGTTTATAAGTCCAATAACTATGGTTTATAGGTGATATATCTATAGTTAATGGGATTATAACCCATTTATAACTTGGGGGGGCACCACCTTGTAGATTCATCCACCAAAACCTGGCGCCAAACAGCTGGCGCGCCCGTTGCCGCAACTCGCCCGAGGCGAAGTAGATGGTGGTCCGCGCGTCGGCGGGCGACCTTGGCGCCGGAATCAGCCGGACGGCATCTCGATATGTTGTAGTCTCTGATAGAGTAAAATCAGTAAAATCAGTGACATATGAGTAAAATGTGATGTTTTCAATAGATATAGATTATATATCATGATTCTGATCAGATATGATAAGCACATATGATTTCATATGATCTATGTTTAAAAAAATGATGAAAAAGCAAGTTGCAGTAATCCGTATGTCTTCGTTATTCATGGGCAGGATCTGGAGGGTATCAAACCATTGACGCCCCTTTGCTGAGCCCAAAAACGCTGTCACGTCGGCTTTGTCATTCCTGAGCAGCGTAAAATGGACGTAGAAAAGTCGTCATATCTAGAAAACTCCAAGATTTTTTTTTCTGACTTTGCGCACGTGTACATACCGAGGAGGTTGGGCATGTTTACAGTTGCACACTGTTAGTGTTCATGCAGGTAGATGTGCAGATCACAGACATTCTTGCAGCATTTGTATGCATGTACATGTCTGCATGTGCAAATGCATAAATATGCATAAATAATCATAAATATGTGCACGCAACATTGTGTAAATCAGCTTCAGATGTGGACAGTAGCAAAATCAAAGGTCTCGCTTTTGGGGGGGCCCTCTCACCACAACGCTTTCCAAACACCAAGTGAGCACTCCCCACTAAAGTGGTCTACCAGGGTTTTGACCGTACCTCATATATCCGCAGATACAAAAAATCAACCAATGAATGTGACTTTAAATTTTAAATGACAGTTTCCTAAAACGGGTGTACCCCAAAAGCCATGGCTTTCAAAGCTAAAAATCATTTAATATGATTTATAATTTTGGATGATTTGGGGTAATTATCCCTATTTTAGGAAAGAAACCACCAAATGCATGAATCATGTGTGTGAGCATTTTTTTTGCTGCAGAAAAATCCTGCGCAAAAAAATCCAACTTTCAGAGCGGATTTGAGCCAACACAAAGTCCATCTAAGAAGGGTTGCAGCCTTCTAGCCATTGGATCCATTGGTTTCAATACTAAAGTGGGCTAATGGCTTGGATGAAAAAAGGTGGTCCCATTTTAGAACACCTCCATATGAATGTGACTGGGGGTTCCACATTAACGGTGAAAATTGAAAGAAAGCATTTGATTTTGGGGTGCACGATTTTTGGACAAGTCCATATGAATCTTCAATACATCCAGTTGTAAGTCTGATGTTGTTTTTGACTGAGGAACATCGCTAACCTTGCTAAACTCAGACCCAATTCACAAGAGAAACACTGGCAGGTGGAGATGTTTTATCAGGTTCCTCTGTCAGAAAGGCAAACAAGATTCACCAGTTTCCCTATCATTGGGGGTGTGTCAAACACATATTCACAAAAACACCCAGACAGCAACAATCATATTCATACCCTCTGGTAATTTAACATAGCTATTGAAAATCACCATGTTTAATGGGAAAATCCACTATTATTAATGGTCATTTTCAATAGCTATTTTGACATAACCAGAGGGTAACTGGAATAGGTCGGTTGGCTTTCCCCAATAACAACGTTCAGCACATCCCCCGGCTCTCCAACGTAGCGGCTACGTTCGGTCCAAGGGTCTCTTGACTAATCTGAAGGAAGGGCACGAACCCGGAGAGCCGGTTCCTTGGGCGCCCCAGTTTCTCCGGTCTCAACGATCAAACACATCCAAAAAGGGGGGAAGCCGCAGGGAAGTCACAAATGAATGATCATATTGGGTCTACCAGCTTTTCCAGATACGCTGCGAGTGCGGAAGATGGGATGTTATGATTGTTGGCAACTGGTGGCCGTGGTAAAAAAAAATCACACATATCCTCAGATCTGCCTGAAGTAGCACTTCGGGTGGTTCCAAATCTTGTAAAGCCAAGATCAATAAGGCCCTGGTTGATCCGAAGGGGACCAATTAACTACACATCAAGCATCAACATGCATCAACCATGGCAAGATTCACATGCATGTGACTGATGCAGGTCGTGTTTAAACTTTAAACAAGATCAACTCCCCCCACCGCCAGAAACTCGAAAGTATCATCTTAAAGAAATTCTATCATCAAGTCCCTGAACCCTGTGACACTGCTGAAATGAACCTGCCCCAAACTACAGAAAACGAAGAAGAAAAAACACATTTAAAAAAGCCAGGGGGGATGCTCAAACCTGCAAATACTTCCAAAACTTCGTTGCTGAATAATTTCTAGAACAATTATAGAGATTATAGTAACTATAGAAATTATAATAACATGACGTCACACACAAATATTATATATATATGCATACACACGACATTGACTATAATTCAAGGTTCTTCTTATAACATGACACCTCATCAATTTCCTGGTGATCCTAATAATCCTGATCCTGCTCACTGGATCGAACACAGCTACGTGAACGTACACCAAACTGGCAATATCTTTTACTGGAGGAAAACAACATAAATGCATCACATGTCATCAATGACATATGTATAATATACACGTGTATTTCTTAGATTCTAGATGTGTATAGTATATATATATATAGATACACATATATGTATAATACAGTATATATAGTATAGTATAAACATTGTGATTAAAAATATCTAATTACATACATTTCATATATATATATATATGATTATATATGTATATGATATATTGCTGTATAATCTATAAACAGGTAGTAAAAATGGCACAACCATATCCAAAATTTCAACCTTTTCGTGACCCAAAAACCCCACGCTTTTGTAGCGGCGCGTTTAACGGTAGCTGTGTTGCCCCGACAACTTGGCCGATTTGCCCTTCACGTTCAGGCCTTTCCCGACCTCGGAAAGCACGGTCCCGTTGTGGGTCACAACGGCGACCAAAGGACCAAAAGAAACGACTCAGATCCAGGGAGCCAAATGGCAGTGTGTCAAAACCTTGTACCCCTGGTGAACATCAAAATAGCTGGTAAATGGATGTTCATCCCACTAAAAATGGTATTAATAGGTATTGATCCATAGCCAAATTGATTTTAAGATATTTTAAGCAAATTGGGGATGTTTCTCAAAAAGGATGCGAAACAAAAAAAACAAACATGGCCAGCTAAATCGCGAACTTCACAGGAAAAAGAAACAATGTGGATATCGCTTCTGCAGCTTCGAAGGGAGTCGTATTTTGTCGCAACGGGGTCGTCAGGTGACCATGAAACACCCATCAGGGTCATTGGTTCACTTCGTAAGCCACAGGTTGGTAGTGGGTAGCATGCAGAAACGAACAGATTTCTGGGAAGGAACCATGGAAAAGGATGAAAAAGGGAGTTCCACCATTGGGTGGGCCCTCTTCAAAATGCCACCGAACCTGCATTATCATTGAAGGCAGCGAAGACCTATCAGTTCTAGATCCAGTTGCTCCGGTCGACACCCTTCCGAGTCTTACAATGTGGGGCCCCCAGTTATAACATGTTTAAAAGTTATAAGTTGGTTTATAAACCCCATTGACCATAAGTTGGTTTGTAAACCAACCCCATGAACAATAATTATAAGTTAAGTATCATAAAACATGCTTCTCGGAGTTACAAACCAACTTAGCCTTAGCTATCTAAGGCGGCCCACTTTGCACAGGTCTAAGAATATAGTGAGCTTACATGAACTTGAACTTACAGTACTGTATCTACAAACATTTGTGCACAATACCACGCGCGACAAACTGATTCATCGTCCAGTCATGTGACAGGCCACGCGAAGATCTGTGAATCGTCCAACCAATTGGGTACACTCTTTCAAACCCCAAAGCATTTCCAACCATCGAAATAATACCAACACCAAAAAACTCCCACATCCCCTTGGAAAACCACGGGAACCTTCAAAAAAAAACGTGGCTGCTGTTGTTTTGTGGGGTCTTCCCTCACCACAAAAAAAAACGTGGGCTTCGCTGTTGGGCACCACCCATCTGCGGAGCCCACCGCTATGCCACTCAACATCTTGGCGATGGCGTCCCGGCTGGTGGGCCGATACACAGCAAACCTCGCTATGGCAGGTCGCTGGGGGTGGGAATCTTGGTGGAAACATGTCATGTTTACCACCCATGACTGGGAATGGTTAAACATACCAGGTATACCACCTATTTATATCTATAAAAATGGTGATGATTGGGGATCGTTGATTATTGCTGTACTAACATTAGATTTGAGGAATTTACATCTTTAGTACCCATCTATGGCTGTTCTTTTGGCTTCTGTTTGTGGGCAGCGGATGCCAAGAAAACCCAAATCACACAAGACAATATCACACACCTGCGACTGGCGCAGTACGGAGAGGGAACAAACTCGCAACGTCCACCTGCTTCTGACTCTGGATTCTACTCATATCAATTTGCAAGGGACGACATGTGGCCATAAACATAGGAAAATAGAACGCTGGGTCCCGCTGAATGAAAAGAAGATCTATTCCGAGAGGCCAGGCTACCAGCTATTGCCCAACATCAACAGTGCTATAGCCACAAGACATGGGGCAAGCTAGAAGTTCAACAGTGATACAACACGAATTAACATTAGGTAAAGCTTGACAATTGACCATAAATTCCCAATTCCCGTTCCAAAAAGGCCATTTTAGGGATGATTCGCGGAAAACTCCCAGGCCAATGGGGCTCCAACCAATGTGTATCTTCGCCTGCGCTGCGTGGAGCTGGGGGCAATGTTTTGGATGATTGGGGATGATAATGCTGATAACCTGTGAGCTGGGGGGTGATTGGGGGATGATTGGGGGATGATGGGGGATGATTAGTGCCCATCTTCAAGCACAGCGGCTCCGGGCTTTTTGCCGCGGGCGTGCAAGGTATCATGAAACCTTCCCCGTTTCATGCCCAATCAATTGGTTGGTGGTCTGAATCACCCCAAGGAAATGAGCAAATCGATGACCACTGGGATATGTTTACTCTGTTTTTACCATGGAAAATTCACTGTTTCTAATAGGTCAATTATCCACAAATGGGCCATCTTCATCCATTTTCCATATATAACCAGAGGCTGCACATCCAAAATCATGGGCACCGTGCGCAGATCAACCGCAGCCAGGCTGGTAGCTCGGACATCCTGCAAGCTGGGGTGGCCCACTGGGCTGCCCAGGTCCGCAGGTTTGCCTCAAAAAACTTGCTGGGACATAAGGTCCAGCCTTGGATGCGTTTCGAACCATGGGTCGACCTGGATCACTTGGAATTTCAGGACCCGAACATTGAGGTACTATACCAGTACCATGTAATGATCATGTAATTCTATAAAGGGGAGTAACCCCAAAATGGATGATTTAAAATGGAAAATCCTATTAAAATGAATGATGAAGGGGTAGCACCATGTTAGGATCCCTCCATATACGGATATAAGGCCATATTTTGTGGTGATATTCCCTTACAATCCCTTACATAGTCCTTAAGTAGGCCTTATGCATAGCAGGTAGGTTCCTGAAATGGCCATTGATTGGAGGAAAAATCTACAGCAACCATCAAGTACAAAGCCGAATAAATTCTAAAACTCAGCGAATCATTTGACCCAGTAAACTTAGATGGCCTACACACGAAAAAACTGTTGGTGTTGGGAAATATATACCCCATATTTGTGATTGAACATGTGGAAACCTCCACCAAACCAGCCATTTCTCCACAATTTCCGATCCAACCAGTGCGTTAGGTGCAAGGGCAAGTTACAGTCTCAAAGCGTGAAACGGCTGCCATGCCCTCTCACAGGCCTTGACATACCCGAAAAAGATGGGTTAGTCTGGGTTAGTTAGAAACTGGGAAACTGCAGCTGTTTCTCAATAAGTAGCTTAAAGATGCTTAAAACTTAAAGTTTACGGGATAATTATTGCATTCGAACTTCAGAACCACAGCATACCACAGCTTTTACATGCATTTTTCCGAGTGATGACACCCTTGCAAACCCTCATTGGTGCTGTTGACAGTGGGGTCAGTAGAAATTGCCCAAATACAGCTAATTAATTGATTCATATTGATTCCTACATTTCCCTTTGAACTGCAAAATCATCACTCAACTACCCCAAGATAGCCTTCAGTTGCCTGAAACAAGTGGCTGAAATCTATGGTTTATGGTAGATATAACGAACTAGTTCATGGGGGTTTTGTGATATAAAGCATTTTCCATCATTTTCCCATAGTTCCCATAGATTTTCCATAGATTTCCCTGGCTGCCCTGGGGTGAATCTAAACCAACTTTCACATCACTGGAGGGCCCCACACCCCCATTGAGCAACACCAAGTCACCAGGACCGTGGCCTCCAAGGTGACTGCATTGGGTTGCACCGTTGCACCCTTCATCCCATCCAGCACCCGCAAAGCGTCGCTCCAACGTCCTGCAACGTGGAAAAATCGATCCATGGAAACTGGTGGTTGGACTGGGGAAAATGGTGGTTTAACATGGTGTATCTGACCATCAACAATGGTACTTAGGGATTTGAAAATCCATGGATTGGTTGTCTTGGGAAAATCTTGAGCGGAAACCATGGTTTTTACCATCAAATATAGGGGTTTCCGGTTCAAAATTTCCCATCATCCAATTCTATGAATCAATGAGCTTTGGGCCCATATTCAGGAGGGATGATATCCAAAAGTTGATTTGGAAGCAGTGAGCCCTGCAGAAACACAGGTTGCATTTGAAACCACAGCTGGGAAAACAAAAGGGGAACACCCAACATACAAAGACATGGGAGAAGATCAGAAAAAATATTTAAAAATAAAAACAAACAAAACCCTGCACACTGAGTTCCAGTACCCAATCACTCACAGGCAGCTGCCATTTATTTTCAGCCACACTGATCTCTGCATGTCCTTCAGGCTTTTTAGCCCTTGGTTTTGTCTTTGTGTTTCTCCTCGTCCTTCTTGTTCTTCCTCTTTTTTTTAGGAAGGACCTCCTCATCTGTGGACAGCGACAGGCTGTCCTCCTTCTCCTTTTTCTTCTCCTTTTCTTTTCCTTTTTTTCCCTTTGTTAAATCTTATTTTATATTATTTGTTGTTAGTTGTTTTTGTGTTTCTTTATTTTTCACAATGTCCATGATATTCCCTTGTGATGGGACTCCCAGTTCTCATAGAAGAGTTTCCGGGGAATGTTTTTGAGATTTCAGCCGGGTGAAAGTTGAGAAGAAAAACATGAAGAAATGAAAGTTCACAAAGAAAAGATGGCAAGTTGTGGCAAGTTCACCAACAAAAATGACAGTTGAAGAAGGACAATTGTGATTAATTATCACTGACAAAAATCAGACCAAAGCAGGCAAACAACCCGCAAAGTTGGGAGTTTCAACGACAGAGGATTGAACCAAGCATCTAAGATTCATAGCCACAAATGGATACTGTGATGGTGCTTCCCAGTTTGCCAATTGGGCATGATGTTCCTTTCTTTGGGTACTAGATTCGATACTTTCTACTTTGGGGTGTATGCGTGATGCCACTGCTGATTAAGCGAACACACAGTCATCTGGTCCAAGAAATTACATGGTGACAAATCACCCTTAAACAGAAGCACATCGAAAATTTCACGATCATCATACTACTACAGTATGGTGAAGTTGTTTCAACAAGATCTGGTGAAACCTAGATGGATCCTGAATCCTGACTCTTGAGAATTTTGTTAGGTGGTGCCTCATAGTTTGCTAAGTTCGTGAACACAACTCCAATCAATAACTGGGGTTTACTGGGATTATATCTATAGTGAGGGGGAGTGTAAACCAACTTGTCACGGGGGGTGGGCACCACCTTGTGTAATTATCAGATCACCATATTTCTCTGAGTTTGGCAGGTTGCCTCCTGACGATTCAGCAATTGAAAAATTGTAAGCTTAGCAACGCCCCCCCCCCCGTGTCAGGAAGCCACAATTCACAATTTGTGAACCTCAGTTAGGTTCACTTTGACCTCAGCGGCCTGTTCTCTGGCAAGGCAGTGATGGCCACACTTGAGTGATGTGAAAAGGCCGGAGTGATGTCACATTTCACCAAAAACAAAGGTCAATCGCTGGACATCGTACTCCCCGAAAGGTTCGTCAACAAACATTTCCAGAAAAAACACACAACCAAAGCTTCACGGCATACCCATTTGTTCCAAACATGTCCAAACAAAGCATGTTGGTCAAGGTTTTCCAGGGATGTTGCCTACATCACGTACGAGTACCTGTCATCAATTTTCAACTGGTTGGTGGTTTTAACCATCTTGAAAAATAGTCAATTGGGAAGGATCATCCCAATTATGGAAAATAAAGGTCATGTTCCAAACCACCAACCAGATGATTTTCATCATCTTCCCATAGGATTTCCGGCGACGTGATCGGCCCGGCATGGCCCGGCCCTGTCCTGCTTTCTCCAGCGATCGGAGCACCGCAGAGAAGGAAATGACATCTGCACCGCCCTGCCACGCTATGACCTCTGTTCCGGCGGCCGGCGGAGGCCCAGGAGGCCCCGGAGGCGGGCGCCGGAGATATGGCGATGGCAGCAGAAACAGCAGACGAAACGGGGATTGATGATGGATTGATGATTGTTCATGTAGCTGAAGCAACCATTTTGGAGTTTTCTTTATAGTAACTGATAGTATATGTTATATTATATGATGGTGATGATTCAAGCAATTTTAATCAAACTGGGGAATCATTCGCGCGGATGGTTTTGCCAAGCAATTTAACGGCGTTTTTCGAACCTCACCCCATCCCATGGTTTAACCCCCATTTCCCCAGTGAAAACGCACATCGTTTCTTGAGCTGCGCCCAGGTTTTGCCATGTTTTGCCCATTTGATCCCCAGCACCAACATCATTGATGCACGAAATCAACCGCCATGGCCGGGCCATCTAATTACCACATCTACCCTCTGGTAATTTTTAACATAGCTATTGAACATGGCCATTTATAGTGGATGTTCCCATGAAAAATGGTGATTTTCCATAGCTATGTTAGTTTACCAGAGGGTACCACATCTATTCACCATGGAAGGTTGCACCGGTTGCACCCTTCATTTTCTCCTGGAACCTGGCCTAATACCTGGCCATAGTCCGTCGTGCCTCCAGGAAATGCAGCGCCAAGAACCAGCGATCCTCGCAGGCGCTGATGAGGCTGTTGAAGCTGATGTCGTTGGGATGGAGGTCAGCCTGAACTATTTGGGCCATGTTTGGATCGCGAATTTTGGGAACGACCCGAAATGATTGACCCAAATGGGTTTGTCTGAAAATAGGGTATATTCCCAAACAAATAGCCATTTAATAGGGATAATGATCATTAACCATTGGGTTTAGGGGTACACTATTTTCAGACACACCCAAATGCCAAATATGTCATAATATGTCCATCTTCGTAGGTTCTATCTAATGTTTGATCCGAATATTTCAATGTTCGTAGATATAACAATTTTGCGCGCCACGTTTTGGTGAAAACTCACCATATATAGTTCGCTGAATTTCTGGTTCTACATGACATCACCAGTATTCATCCTTTGATTCATCTATATAATAAATTCTTGTAGTCTATCTTCAGTTGAGCCACCACGTTTCTTGTTCCATCCCAATTTCCATTCATTGGGTTGACTTTAGTGGACCTTAACGGCTTACAGTCAGCCCTGTTCTCCGCCATGATGTTGTTAAGTAAGTGTTTCTTGAGGAAAAGAAAAACATATCCCTCCCCCAGCTATATAATTGGCGCAGGCCCTGCCACATGGTGGTTGGAAGACAACTTTCGTGTAAAGTCGGCCATTCCCAGGTCTTTGTTAGTTGAGAGGTTGGTACAATTCCCTCATTCAATTCAAGGAACCTTGAAGGTGCCAAAACCCTGCAGTCTTTTGTTGGCTAGCATATTCATATTTCAGTATGAACATATCTGCTCTATATATATATATACATATATAGTTATATATGTATATATGTGTGTATACATATGTGTATATATATATAATGTAGCTTTACTATATCTCCCTTTCTCTCTTCACAGCAAACGCTTGAGAGGTGGTAGTAAACTCGATAAGGTCGGTTGCAGCAGCTATATCCCACCAGATTCATCGGGTTCCCCTGGCCTTCACCATATCTGGAAAAAGCTGCAGGGCCTGACGTCACTGTCCCTCTAAGCAGCTCAGCGCTGCATTGAAGCTGGGGACCTGGGAGGGGCTGGGACCCACGGGGAGGGGCTTCACCAGGATTTCGGCTGACCAATTGAGATGTCAAATATGTATGGTTTACCCTCTAGTAAACTAACATAGCTATGGAAAATCACCATTTTCAATGGGAAATCCACTATTTCAATGGCCATTTTCAATAGCTATGTTAAATTACCAGAGGGTAATTTCAGCAACATTGGGACTACCAGGATCAATGCATGGATGTCTCAAGCCAAGTCTGGGATCGGGGTTTTCAGTTTCCAGGTGGTTTGGGACAGGACATGGAAGTTGGTTTTCGTGTAAGCGGGGCCCCCGGGCCCCCAAGAGATACCACTTGATTGTTTGTTTCACTACCCCAAATATTCACTACTTCGGAATTATGAGTTTTGCCAGGATGGAAAATGAGAACATGGTTTGAAACTACCCTCCAGCTGTTCATGTAGATTATTTGATCATTTTTCCAAACCCTCCGTCATTTCCGCTGTGCGTACTGGTTGTTTAAGAAATGGCTAAGAACAGGATTCCAACATAATGGATGTTGATACCCTCTGGTAAACATACAAAAAGCTATTGAAAATGGCCAAGTCGAAATAGTGGATTTACCCAGCTATAAAATGGTGATTGTCCGTAGCAAACTGTTAGTTTACCAGAGAGTAATCCGCGCATATCCCCACTATTTTGTTGTTTTTTTTTAATCCCCGTGATCAACCGCCAGGGGAGGTCCGCTGCACTGCTCAAACATAGACCACCAAACAAAACATCCACAAGGTGGCTTTTTCAGTTACACGTTGGTTTCCAACATTATAGATATCTCCTATCTACCATAAGTTCATAAGCCCTAGCCAATTGTAAACAGCTATAAAAACCAACTTCGTCAGCTCTCATCAAATCCCATTCGAAATAAATCCCATCAAATCCAACTAAACCATACTAAATTACCATCTTTGCTGGTAAATCAAGGTTTTTTTTCGCGAAACACCTGAAAACTCGGCCCAGGTCGCATCTGCTCGCAGTCGCAGCATCTGCAGCAGATGAATGGCCTGTGGCCATCGCTGTCCCTTTTCGCAGGCGTTGATGGCTGCGCAGAAGCCTTGGAGATGCCATGTGATGATGCGAAAAGGGATGATGACACCGCAGTGTGTCTACCTTTTTTGGGGGAAAATCACTAGAAAAGTCTCCAAAAAGGATCAGTAAGCTACAATAAACTTGTTTTGAAGCTTCCTAAATGGCATTTCCTGTTGGATTTCCGGGGAGTGAAGGTTGAGATTTAAGGATCAATTCCTCCTGGAATGAAGAAAAATGGGCTGGCAATCAGTGCTGAAAAACATCGACTTGTGATCAGTAAAATCAGAAAACTTGATATGTAACCAAATATCGACGATGCATGCTTCAAGAATGGACACTTTAAACAAACAACATTGGGATGTTAAGAATCAATATTTGGTTGGTAAACAATTGTGATGTGCGGTTGGGAGGATTGCGACCTTCCTGAAGCTGGTACTGCGCCAGCCATCTTATTCCTTCCAGCCATCTACCGGTTTATTTCCTCTCATGGATCCAATGAATACACTTTAAGCAGCTTAGCTTTCATACGAAAAAAACCATATTGGCTCAGCATGCTGCTGGTAGATTTACCTACAAAACTGGGTCATAAAAATGGGCTAAATGTTGTGTGCATATTCCAGCGCCATGGAGCTGTTTTCCGTTGATCCCATCCAGGACCCAGCGCCAAACCAGTCCACGTATAAGGGATTCTTTCAACCCTGAATTACTCGAAGATGAAAAAAATGGATAATATGATATATATATAATACACGTATATAATTAGTTATATGGATATTTATTATATTATTATATTGGAAGAAGATTGGTCCTAAGCCTGAATAATTTTCATATATGATTGGTAGCGATTAGTAGCCTCCGCCGCAATAAAGTACGCCAACCGCTTGTTGGAGTATGTTTATTTTTGTTATATTTTAGTTCATTATATTCAGAAGATTGTAGGCTTATGCAAATCCCAAACGCAAAGAATTACAAAGATCTGAATGCATTGATTTCTTTATGACTCCCTTATTAAAGATGCGATGGATTTATCCACTGGATAGATCAAATACTGGTAAATTATACTAACAAAATCACTGACCTGAAAAGTTCCGCAATGGGATCAGGAGCCCCCTTTACCATTCACCATCATTCCAGTGAGGTCGCGACGTGGGATCGTTATAATTCATCCAAATTCCCATGATATATATATATATATATACACTGGTTGGTGGTTGACCTACCCCTCTGAAAAATATTAGTCAATGGGAAGGATTATCCCATATATTATGGAAAATAAAAAATGTTTGAAACCACCAACCAGTATATATGTATATATATATATATGTGTGTGTGTGTGTGTGTCTGTTAATTACATCCATTTGTACTTGATTCTCCCAGCTATAAACCTCCATCTATCTATTTGGGATTTGCCCGAACCATTCACCAAAATTTCCATGTATATTCCCATGGGAAAACCCATTATATATACTCCCATTAAATGCCAATGAAATTCGCTATCTTCCATCATCATCATATTAAATACAGTTAAAAAACAAAAAAACATTGGGAATATTGAACTGCCCATAGCTCCAATATGCTCTAATGTTGGCTTTTTTGCCACCGGACATATCAATAGATCAAATACCCTCTGGTAATTTGTTACATAGCTATGGAAAATAGCCATTTAGTTCGTTGCTTTACCTAATAAAAATTGTGGTTTTCCATAGTTTTGTGTATGTTTATCAGAGGGTATCAAAAAACACCATTGACCATCAACCATTATTAACCATGATTAACTATTATTCACCCTGATTAACCATTACCCAGATGCTCCATGGTGCTGGAATATGCACACCAACATTTGCCATACAAATCACCCAGGTTTGTAGCTAAATATACCAGCACCATGGTGAGCCAATATGGGTTATAACCACTATAATCCCATTATCATTGCCAATCTTAGATACCCTGCAAAAAATTAAAGTCTTTGCTGATTAGTAGATATTCCCATTGATACCAAAAGACTAGTTAGGATTAGTTCGTATCCATCTAAGATTGACCTAATTATATAATGTCAACCCCGGATGAATAAACCATGGTTTATTAATTAGGGGGGTACTCCTCCTATTTTATGGTACCCCCCCCAATTAAACAGCCGTAAACGGGGTTTATTAATCCGGGGTTTATTAATCCAGGGTTGACATTCCCCATTCACCCTGCCCACCCTGCGCCCTGCGCACCCACGCGGTTCATCGTCTCCTTGAAGCTGCTGAGCGCCAGGCGCCACGAGGCCTGCGCAGCGCTGGTGACGATGCAGCTGAAGGAGGTGACATCCTCTGGGCGCGCTGTGGGATGGGGAGAAAACTCGGGGAAAATATCGCGAAAATATGCGAAAAAATATGGGAACCTATGGAAAAATGTGGGAAAACTAGGGGAAAACTAGGGGACACCGGGTAGAATATGAAAAAATATTGGTAAAATATTGGGAAAATTGAGAAAAATATGAGAAACATATGAGATTCTGGTGATGTTGAAAATGATAGCGCTTTAACATCATGAATTTTGGGACCAAAGGGGTTCCCATGAAACAAGAAATGGGGAACATATGCTGATTTTGAGCTGATTGAATCCCAAAATTAGCTGGCAGCTGGCATCATTATCCTTTTATCCCTATCGAAAAATTGCAATTTGAGAGCAAATACACCATTTTCAGACACCCATATATGGGATGTTAGATTTGAGAAGTTTAATCTGAATAAGATACTAATCAGAATCTACCGTCCAGAAAAGTTCCATTGGCAAGTACCCAAAAATACAGTCAATAAATGCGTCCAAAAAACAAGCCAATCATATGTTGTTTTTGTTGATGACTTTTGGCATGCTAGATATGTAGATCCTATATAAACAACAAGCACATGCGGCTTCAATTGAAAGCACTGGAATCAAATCTTTATCGGTATACCAGTGGGCTCCTTATGGAGATGGATACGTTGATACTGCCACTATCAAACGGAGCCTGGATCAGAATGCCATCACCTACGGCAGTGCTCAAGTCGATTTTCCTATGCGCATGACCCTCCTCGAGCTGTCAGACCAGCAGGAACTCACCACTGGAAGGATGTGACATGCTAAATGGTCTCATGATCACACATGTTGCTGCTATGACACTGGTAAGCTTTCTTGTTAGCTGTTGCATCCTTCCATGGCTCGTTATCTATACCATCTTCTGCACATTTGGCATCTGTCAAAGCCACAGTGGGCTCTTGTGCCCATCTACGAAATGAGTCTCGCAGTGCAGGGCTTCTCTTCGTCAATGCGTCAGCCTTTTGCTGATCTGTCGGCACCCAGCGCAATGCTCGGCAGCTTTGTCTCAGCGCTGCCACATCTATCTCCACACGCTTCTCTGCAAAGGTCGTGCTCAGCCTGTGGATCGCGTCCCAAAGTGAACGCGCATCAGTCACTGGGATGACCTCGTACATGGGTGTCGCAGTGGTGGCCTTATAGTTGGGGAAGGTCATCTCACTGAACACGCAGGCCATGAAATTGCCAACATCAAAGGCCCGGTCCAAGGAAGCGGCTTCAGCAGCCAGAGTCGACCTCAGAATCCTCTGATGCCGATACGACTTCCACTCCAGCAATGAAGCCTGGCATGGCCTCTCAAGGCAACGCTTGCTTGTGGCTAGCACCACCAGTCCGCCTTGAGATTTGTTCCCAGGCGCATTTGCCCAGCCAGCATCACCGTAGGCGATGAACACCAAGTCCTCAAGGTCCAGCGGGTTCACCTTGAAGTAGGCATTGGCCGTGGCGCGCACATACTTTAAGGCCTTGTTGACCTCCTTGAGATCTCCAACCGTCAGCTCCTTGGGCGGCTTCTGCAGCAAAGACGTGTCAGCAGACAGGTCTCCTCTGGTGGTACCTGCCATCCATTGCAGGCTGCCGATGCCTGATCTGAATTCCGTGATCAGTTCTGGGTGATCACTCAGCTTCTCATCATCCGCAAGGGTGATCTTGGTCAGGTGAATGTCCGCCACATAGTGCTCCTGATCCACGGTGAAGCTGCCATCGTCTTGGCGACGGATTCGCCTGCCGGTAAAGATGAAATCATTTCGTTCCCATTCAGAGCCCCACTCAAAGGCCTTCTTCACTTCGTCCAGGTGGTACTCATAGCCCTCCAAAGCGCAGCAAATCACGTCATCGACGTGGATACCCAGCACCGCTGTTACACGGTCACCAGACACTTGCAAAAAGCAGCAAGGGTCAAGGCTGTGCTGCTGCCAGTTGAGTCCAAGTAGAACTCGGAGAACATGCAGAAACCATCTCCTTGGTGCATTTGCCTGGCCATAGACAGGTGCTGTTAATGCATACAGCAGCAAGGGGTGGTTCCACTCAGGCACTGAAGCTTTGGCTATGGGGTCTTGAGGTGGACGCATGTAGATCTGCGTCGGCCGCTCTGTATCTGGTTCTCCTTGGAGAAAAGCTGATTTGCAGTCGCCATTCCACAAAGTCACGCGGAATGTTGCAGCCCATTGAATGATGAGCACCAAGGTGGTTTTTGCCAACACCGGCGCATCTCTGCTCAGCAGTGGCAAATGAGGGTCAGCAAAACCCAAAACCACGATTCTTGATTTTGGTTTGTACCAAACGCCACCATCTTTGGGCTTCCAGCAATAGCAAATTCTGGATTTGAGAATCAGCTTGGGGTCAACCTCTCCTGGCTGTGGGTAAACAGCTTTGCAGCTTGACCACTTCAACCATTCATTCCATTCTTCCTGGTTGGACTGAATGAACTTGGGGCGATCTTCGTCGCTAATGGTTCGCCAGGGAGTTTCTTTCTTCAAGGCCTGTTTGGCCGCTCTGCCAACTCCATCTGTCTCCTCCTCCTCGTCGCTGGACTCAGGACCTGTGATGGTCTGGTTCTCGGCAAAATGCACGCTGAAAGTGTCAGGTCCATCGGCTTTCTGCCAAGCGACTTGTTCCCAAGTGGGTCTGCCATGCTTGATGTGCTGCTCCGCAGCCTGGATCACTTCCGCATCCACAGTAGCGGTCTTCTTGTCCGCGACGTCAGTGACATAGTTGTGAAAGATCTTGCTGAAATCATCACATTGAAAAAGAGGTTGAAGTTCAGGTGGGGAGCCATCCCATCCGCACATCATAACATTGTGTCGGCCATGTCGCCGAAGCCAGTGGCGCTCTTTTCTGGGAAGCTTGATCTTCAGGAGGAAGGTCTTTCGCCGCAAAGGTCTACGGCTCTTTCTCTGGTGCTTGATGAAGAGGGCTCTGTGTGCTTCATCAGGCATTGATTGCAGAGTTTCCTGGAAAGTGTCCAGGGCGATGCCAATGTTCTGGAAAATCTCCTGCCATTGCCATTCGTTGTCCCCATTCTGGACGGCCACACTCCACACTGAGGCTGCATCATCTTTTGCATCGTCAGGTGGAAGACGAAAGCACTGCCCAATGTCCAGCAGAAAAGCTTCGTTCTCATAGGCCTCATCCATGGCATCTGGGGCAGGAAGAAGAACTTCTTGCAAGTCAGCTCGAGGTAGGCTAGACCATTGTTTCAGTCTAGCGTCATAGGTCACTTCTTCTTGAAGTCGCTCAAAAGCTTGGCGCTCTTCAACTTCATCAAACCAATTCATCACTTGGCGAGGATCGGTGACAAAGGAGTGCGCACTACAGCGCGAGCACTGTGCGAAAGGAAGGTCATGTTTTTGGTCAGTGCTGCCACATTCACCGCAGTAGGTCAGCAAAGCACTTGCTTCGGCTGGTGCTTGTGTTGGAGCTTGATCTGCGGCTGGCTCAGCAACTGTCGCACTTGAGGTAGGTTCAGGTCCACGCTGTTCAGGCAGCTCGGACTGTTCAGCATTCCTTTTGACACCACGTTGGGTCTCCACAGTGGATTGAATTGATGGCCGTCGACCAACAGTTTGGTCAGGAGAAAACGTTGTAACCAAACGTTCCACTGGTGCTCCATCAACAGAAATGTCGGCAGCAGGAGTCTGGTTCCACAGCACACGATCCTCCAACTTCTTCCATTGGTTCTTGTGGTGTGACCATGTTGTCCTGTATTGATAACGTCCAGGATCACATTGTTGTGGATCTGGTGTTGGGATCGTCTTGGCATTCTCGGTCACGCAAGTTGGACGACCTTCGGGGTCCAAAAACCATCCTGCAGGAACATCTGTTGAGATCAGTGGTTGTTGACCTTGTGCTGGAAGCATGATGTCTTTCTTGGGCTGTTTGGGCGCTGCCGCACTTGCTGGTTGGTCAGCCAGTTGTTTTTGCCTCCTGGTTCTTGGCGTAGGTGGTGCAGACAAAGGTGTTGCCGGCACTGCTTTGGGCACAATCGCAAGCTCAGGAGCAACTGGTTGAGCAGGTTGAGCTGGAACAGCAAGTAGTGGAAGAAGGTCATCTCCTTCATCCAAAGCCAGTTGAGCTTGAGGTTCTCCAGCAGCGTCCAAAACCAACTTGTCCTCAATAGGTTGGGGAGCAGGCCCTCTGTGATCATGGCTTCCAGCATGCTTGGTGGTCAGGTCCTCCTCAGCAGAGCGCAGCATTCGCAAGTCAGCTGATGAAGGAGTCCAAAGCTCTTCTCCCTCAACGCCGCGAAGCTGTTCTCTAGCGACCTGAACAACTCGGCCTCTGTTGTTTCGGATCCAAACTGATCCTGTCGGAGAAGGGTCGACACCGATCACGATGCCCTGTCTGTACCCTTCCGCTGTGCCTTCTCCATCCAGCTGGCTCTTCTGCCGGAAGTAGGCCACGCGGGCTCCAACTTCAACTGGGCCTCGCCAAGGTCGAGACTTCCGAAGTATCGCCTTCCGGAGGGCTTCGGAGTGCTCAAACTTCAGGTACTCCAGCATGGCATTGTGGCGCATCTCCTCGATACGCCTGTAGCGCTCGGAGTCCTCAATGACCTGCTTGGCCTCAACTGCATCGGGTTCAGAGAGGATAGCGCTGGGAATCTTTGGTGCACGGCCATATACCCATTGACATGGTGATGCGCCTGATCGACGAGCCATGCTGTTCTTGGCAAAGCAAGCCATGTTGGCGATCTGCTGCATCTCGTCAGGTGTTGTGGCTGCAAATTGACTCACCAAGCGCTTCATGATGTGCTTGATAGCTTGACCATGCCGTTCTGCTTTTCCAAGTTGATAGTGGGCATCTGGTGGTACAAAACGTACCTGCACTCCAGCCTGGGCCAAGTATTGTTCAACATCCCAGCCTCTCATTGCCCCTTCAGCATCCAGCAAAGCCTGGTCAGGGAACCCAAAGTACTTGAACCAGCCACGTGCAAGAACTTTGGTAACTTCTTCAGAAGTTCGGTTGGCCAGCAAGTCCACGACCTGATAGGTGGTGCCATCATCAACTTGAGACAGGAACGTGTGCATCTGGCTGGTCACGTCCCGCACAAAAATCAAATCCATCATCAAACGATCATTGAACCTTTTGGCCTGGAAAACCTTGGCCGGTCTTGCTGTTGTTGGTGGCTTGGTGCGGGCACAAATCTGGCAGTGAAGGTGTTTGGCAGCCAACAACGCCTCACCGCTGGCGCCTGCTTGTGCAAGGTGTCGCACCAAAGCTTCTGTTCCAGGGTGCCCCAAGTTCACATGAACTCTAGTGAGCACAGAAAGCATCCAACGCGGCACACCCTTGAGGCCAGGGAACGTCACATCTCTGGCTCCAGGTTGATGTTGAAACCACTGCTCCTCTGGCTCCAAGGCAGACGCTGGAGCGTCAGCTGAAGCTATTGCCTCAGGTTTCTTCGCCTTGATCTCTTCAGGCTTCAGGTCCTCCTCAGGGTTGTAGCTCGTGCTCGGAGCTTCGCCATAGATGAAGATTGCATACGACACTGGAGTGTCGAACTTGGCACCCGGGGCATCCTTGACATCCACAATGGCCTCTGACTCCAAACGAATCTGGCCGTTGTTGTGCTGCAAAACCGCAGCACGATGCGTGACAGCTTCACGCGTCATCAACTGCAAAGGTAGGCGTCTCACCTTGGGCGCCCTTGCAATCTGCACCAGCTTCATCTTCCAGGGCACAAGCTGTTGAACTTGTTCATAGAAGGCTGTGTCCTCTTTGACAGTCGCTGCGGTCTGAACCTTGTTGTGGAGACGATCCGCAGCTTCTTTCAAAAGAGGCCTCCAAGACTCAACATCTTGGCGGATATCTGCAAACCACACGGAGCATTCCGTAGTGGACATCCATGTTGACAAAGTAGTCAAGGTTGAAGATGAAGTCGATGTTGAAGGCGATGGCAATGTTGAGGGTGATGATGAAGAGGTTGATGATGTCAAAGTTGAAAATGTTGTTGGAGAGGTCAAAGTTGAAGATGTTGTCGATGTAGTCCATTGAGCGTAGGTCTCCACATGCTTGTAGAAGCGCTCATCACCACGAAGCTGTAGCTCCTGCAAAAGTGCGCCAACCACAGCGCGGGCAAGCTTCTTGGTGTAGATCTGAGCCCGCTTCGCATTGGTGCCCAGGCATTCTTCATGTTCGTGAGAACCTGGACATGGAACAGCCACTGCAGCTAACACCATCGGGAGATCGCTGCACCAGCCGGTGTCCTTCTTCAGGAGATAGCCATCATGTCCTCTGAGGCCGAAGTTGCACATAGAGCCGCGCTTCAACTCCACACCAGGAAGACGAAGAACAGGCTGTAGTTCCAGTTGTTTCCAAAACTCCGTGCCCCAGGGGTTTTCCAAAAGAAAATGGCATCCCAATTCATAGAGCTCGCAAATGGTCTTGGCCATCTCCTCCAAATCAAGGCGATGTTGGGCGCGTAGCTCTTCAAGTTGTTCGGCCGTGTAGTTCAAGTGCTGGATGTGCGACCAGGGGTCACATCTGATCTCCCACACCGTCAGGAAAGGCCGATGTCGCCGTAGAAGTTGTCGAAGATGTTCATGGTCCGCCTTGGTCTCAATGGCCACACCGTGCACCTTGTCGATGGGCTGTGCCACCTTCAGACCCTGCTTGATCCCCTCAATGGAGATGTTGGCAAAACCACCATAGACCTCCAACAAGTCACAACGGTGACGCCTCATTGCTCGTGCTCGGGCAGCTTGTTGTGCATATAGTTGCGTCTCCACGGTCAAGCACTTGCGCAAAGACCTTATAGTCCCAAGGAGACGTTTCTGTTGCCCAGAGCGGAGTTGTTGCCACCCGCGGTCTTCTTTGAGCAATGGTTCATCTGCAGATCCTCGAAGCGCATTGGGCCCCAAAGGTTCATGTTGGTGTTCTGCAGAATGAGGTCGATCACCATCGAGTTGGCATACTTTGTCATGAAGTCGAAGCCCATCTAAGCTTCGGCCTCTTCCTCCTCTGCCTCGTCGAAATTCTCCCCATCTGTCAGGAGGATAGGATTTGTCTGCCATAGATGTTCGCCGTGCTCTCCCAGTGTCAGCTCCTCTTGCAAAGGAACCTCCGCCTGGCGGCTTCGACGACGGCTCGGCCACATGATCTCGCCCCGGCGAGCTGAAGGCTCTTGTTCTGGATCCGCCATGCTGGGTGAGTAAGCCAAACTCGGTGCTGGCTGCTCCCAGCTGGCCATGCTCACATCGTCCTCCTCCAACAACTCCAGGTTCTGCTCGGTGAGTCTGGCCGATGTAGGCACTGCTGCAGGTCGGTTCTTGGCCCTGGCCTGACTCATTGAAGGCGACGGCAATGGTCGCGAGCCAACCAAGGAACTTGCTGATACCCTTGACCGCGACGCCGTGTGACTTGTCTGGCTTGTTCGGCTGGTCGGTGGGGTGGATGGTTGTTGCTGCTGTTGTTGAAGACGATGGCGCCCCAGATCTTCGGGGTGTAGGGCATACCCAGTCTTGAGGTCGATCCCCTTTGGAAGGCCCAAAGGTGTCTTTGCCGTAGGCGAAGCTTTTGGTTGGCACTACACCAGGGACTTGTCCTTGTCGGTGTTCACCATCCACCGGCCTCCACATTGGTCGCAGATCTTGATGACCCTGCCCCCAGCGCCATAGCTTCGAAGCCCAAGAGGATGATCGCACCTCGCCGGGTCGTTGGGGTATGCCACCTGCTGATTCTTCTGCATCTGGGCTGCTGTGACGGTCTTCAGCATTGTCGTGGCAGTCTGAGCTGGAAAGTACGTGTCCAGCATGGCATCCTTCAGACGAGGTTTCATGGCCGTGGCCGCGTATATCAGGACCATCTGTTTCACATTGTAGAGAAGCTCCAAGAAGTTCATCATGAGAAACCTCCAGTTGCTCAGCCATCTCGGAGCTACCGTGGTCGATGTCGGTATGCGGCGGCCTTCGAATTGGTTCTTTGGCTGGTTGGAGCTTGACAGCCTTAAGAACAGTTGCTTCAGAACTCTGTGGAATCCAAACGTCAGGGATCTGATCATGGTCAAACTGCATGGGCCATGGAAAATTTTCATCCGGCCATTCATCAACTCGAATTGCCAAATATCCAAACGCCAAAAACAACTTTGATGTGCAGTTCAATGCTTGGTAATACATGACTCCTTTGCAAATGTCTGGAATGGCCCCCAAAGTTTCAAAAGCAGGTCTTGAAAAAAGTGCTGGTGCATCAACATCAACTTGACTGACACCCAACGTCACTGCGGCACCTCCCAAGCCGGCAGGGTAGGCGTATCTCGCCGAAGTTGGTGTGCCTTCGTGCGGGCCAAAGCTAAAATGACAGGCATCTTCAAAGGAAACCGCTTTGAGGGGCTGGATGTTTTTCTGTTGAGCAACATGCCATTTCCTTCCAGCTACTTGACGTTGGTATCCTGTGTCAGCTATCATGATGCCCCCTTCGACCCTTGAAACGTTCTGCAAAAGAATTTGGGGGTTGCCAAAGAGAGGAAACAAAACCGCATCATCTTCAAGGTTGTTGTTGGCTACCTGGTTATTGTTTACCACCAAGACATTCTGGGAAGTGATGTCACCTACAAAAACCGGCTCATCCGCAAAAGTGGCCATGGAATCAAAAGCTTTGTTGGAATCAAAAACTGCAATCTTGACATCAGCTGCATAGGATTCAGGGGCTTTGTCAAAGCTAGGGACCATGAAATTCTCAAAAACATCGATCTTGTCCTGAAATCCGTCATCTGCAGGCATGATGAGCTCTTTTTCCTCCGCCACTGCATGAGCTCAAACGGATGGTGTGCAGGTGACCATCCAGCTTGAGTGGTCCACAATGTTGCCTTCGGCATCCAACACACTGCCAGCCGATGTCAACTGGGCTGTGTAGGTGTTGGCATGTGGACAATCTCGAAGCCAATGTCCAGGAGATAGGCAGCCCAAGCACAAAGACTCGTCTAGAGCCTTCTTCTGGTGAGCCAAGTTACCCTTGCTGGGTGTAGGACTTGGCTTTCCTTTTCCTTTGCCTTTGCTCTTGCCCTTGGTGTCTTTCGACTTGCCCTTGCCCTTTCCTTTGGAAGGCTTGCCACCACCAGGCTTGCCCTTGCCTTTGTCCTGGTAATAGCCACGTGACTTAGTCAGCTCGGCAAGTCTCTTGCTGGTCACCGTCAAGGCTTCCACAACTGCAGACAAACTGTCGGCAGTGGTGTCATGGGCACCAGCATCAGCACCTTCTTCGGCAGCTGGCTCTTGTCCAGTTGTTTCATAGTTGTCGTCCTCCTCATCATAGACGACATCATCGTACTCAGCTTCGGGCTCAACTACAGTTTTGGCATCTGCTTCCCAGGCCTCATACTCAAACGTCTCGGTCTGGTCATACTCAGTCACCTCTTCATCCACAGTGGTGTGCCAGGCCCTACGACCTTTGCCAGACTTGTGCACACGCTTATATGGAGTAGCTGCACCACGCTTGAGTGGCAACCCTGTGATTGAAACTCCAGCAGGGTATTGAATTTTGATGGCATCCAGCACAGCTCTCATTCGGTACTGGTTGCCTGCCGCCAAAAGCAAAGCTGAAGTAGATCTTTCATCCAGTCTAAGCCCATCCAAGAGCTTGATAATTCGGCTCTCCTCGGGGTACTCTGGCACCTTGTTGTCCCGCAAACGCCTTTCCAGCAAGCGGAATCTCCGCACAAATGCGGTCACACTTTCCCCTTGGATTCTGCCGATGCTCTCAAACTCCCTGATGACGCCGCCCTGTCTAAACAATGGGCGCTCCCCAAATGACTCCTCAAGATCACCCAGGAGCACCTCAATGCCATTGGCCACATTGTAGCGGTCGTCCTCAGTCTCTGCCAGTTCCAATTCAGCTTCACCACGCAACTGCTCACGCGCCCTAAGCGCTTGTTCATTGGGAGGCAGGAAGTCCTTGGTTATGAGGCACCATCTATGCAACTTCTTCTTGTAATGTCTCAGGCAGTACGGATCTGCCTCCACATCACCTTCAAACACAGGTGCCGGAGGTATGGCCCCCGACCTCCACTTCGGTCCACCACGAGGCTGGCTTCGTCTCGAGGCCCTTGAAGCACCAGAGCCACGTGAACCACGAGGCCTAGACCTTGAGGACCTGGGAGAAGCATCAGCTCCACCATTTGCTGCAGGTTCGCCAGCTGGTTCAGCTGGAGCAGAAGTTGCGCCACCGTCGGCGGCTGCATCTTCGGAGGCTGAAGCGCCAAAACTCTCATCGCCATCTGAGGATCCATAGTGAAGAGGAACATCAGAATCGAAGTTAAGGCTGCTCATGGCGCAACCCCTCGGTGAGCACCTCGTAGATGAAGCACACCAGGATGGTCGCTACCAATGCCACTATCAAACGGAGCCTGGATCAGAATGCCATCACCTACGGCAGTGCTCAAGTCGATTTTCCTATACGCATGACCCTCCTCGAGCTGTCAGACCAGCAGGAACTCACCACTGGAAGGATGTAACATGCTAAATGGTCTCATGATCACACATGTTGCTGCTATAACATAATAATATTAATAAAAATAATAATATTATAATTCATATTAATATAAGTAATAAGAATTGTAAAATAAATAAATAATAATTTAATTTATAATATGGAAATTTAAAATATTTAAAAATATATTAATAAAATTAAAATATATTAATAAATTATTATTTAATATATATTTTTGTTTTATTTTTTTTATTCCCGATATCATTGTGTGGGGTTCTTGTTTTTCGCTTAGATCCCGCCGCTTTCCTCCGTCCGCCGCCACCGCGCCCCTCACTCACTCACTCACACTCACTCACTCATTCACTCACTGTACAGATAGCTTCCTGGCTGCCTTTGGCGTGGCAGGCGCAGTACACAGAGCCTCCTGGAGGAGCTGCGGCGCGCGTGGGCGCCGCTGGGGCTACCTTTCGCGTGGCAGGCGCAGTACACAGAGCCTCCTGGAGGAGCTGCGGAGCGCGTGGGCGCTGCTCGGTCCGCGGCTGCCTTTGGCGTGGCAGACGCAGTACACAGAGCCTCCTGGAGGAGCTGCGGCGCGCGTGGGCGCCGCTGGGGCCGTGGCTGCCTTTCGCATGGCAGGCGCAGTACACAGAGCCTCCTGGAGGCCGCGGCTGCCTTTTGCGTGGCAGGTACAGTACGCAAAGCCTCCTGGAGGAGCTACTGGGGCCGCGGCTGCCTTATGCTAGCAAGCGCAATACACATCACATCACATCACAACTCATCACAACTTATCACATACCAACTCATCACAGCTCCACTACTCACACCTCACTCATCACAACTCCACTGCTCATCACAACTCATCACAGGTCCACTTCTCATTACAACTCATCACAATTTATCACATCCCAATTCATCACAGTTCCACTTCTCACACCTCACTTCTCACACCTCACTTATCATATCACAATTTCTCATCACAACTTATCACATCCCAACTCATCACAGCTCCACTTCTCACACCACTTCTCACACCTCACTTATCACATTAGAACTCATCACAACTCCACTTCTCACACCTGACATCACAGGTCCACTTCTCACACCTCACTTCTCACACCTCCCCGAAATTCACATTAAGCTTAGATACATGAAGGCTTGACATGTGGGGTTATCCGGTCCTTTAATTATTGTTAAATTTTATCGTTATTATTGTAATTATTTATTGATGAAATTAAATATTTTAATAAAGGTTAATTTGAATCGATTGATTTATGGGTTAATTGAAATCGTTTTAGTTAATTGTTATTTGTAAATAATTTAAAGAAAAAATAAAATATTAATAAATTTAAAATATATAAAAAATAAATATTAATTTAATATAATTTTTGTGGATTTACCAAATTTAATAGGTTTAATTATAAAATTTATAATAATTATATATAATTTAATAATGAAAAAGAAATTATATTATTATATTTATATATATATATATTAATTTATAATATAATTGTTTAAAGAATTTCTTAGAATAATTCCTTAAAAAATATATTATATTTATAAAGAATTATAATATTCTTATTTAAAAAAACTAAATTTATTCCTAAAATATGTTAAATTATTAAATAAATCTATATTAAAATATTTCTTATCTAGATTCTATATAATTAAAAATATATAATAAATAAATCGGTCAAAATATGTCCTATTCCTTAATTTAAATTATAAATTACAATTTAATTTATTAAATATTATATTTATTTAAAATAATATAATTTCATCGGAATAAAAACAATATTATCGTACAAAATAATAAAAATTTCAAAAATAAGAAACATATAAAAAAAAATTAATAATTATAAATTGAATAAAGCAAAACGAATCCCCCGATAGATCGAAAGGGAATTAGAATGATATATTTAAGGGAATATAATATTTTTAAGAGTCGTTTCATCCCAATTGTTGGATATAGTAAAATATAGTGTAGTAGTAGTTATAGTATAATTTTATCTAATAGAATTGTATTTATAATAATTTAATATGTAATTAGTATAATATAGTATCATTATAATTATAATTATATAGTGCGATATGTTTAGTATAGTATATTATAATATATTATTGTATAATATAATATTATATAATGTAATTTAATAAAATATAATTAAAGGAAATTTAGAAATCAAATATCCGACAATATGGAGAGATGAAAAGTAGAGCAAGGAAGAGGCAGCGAAAAGAGAAAAATTAAAAGAAAAAAAATAGAAAAAAAAGAATAAGAAAAAAGAAGATATAAATGCGAGAAAAGGTAGGAAAATCACGAATTATTGTGTTTTTTCCAATAATTTAGGGCTCCGGAGGGTCGAAATACAAATCATTTTTAGCAGTTAAGCTTTCAAAAGTACACATTATAACGCGAAGTATATTTCAAAATTAAAAAAAAATAATAATCAAAATATCGAAAAAAAAAGTTATTATGATACCAAATATATTTCAAATTCAAAATATTTAAAATGTCATATATTCGCATCATTTTTAGATGTTCAAATTTCGAAAAAATATATACCATTATAATCTAAAATATATTTCAAAATCAAAATATTAAAAATACCAA